ATGTTTGAATCCATTTTAAAAACTTTAAATCTATTGAGTTGTAATATAGATACATTGCTTTATTTTTTATTTAGACTAGCAGAGACCTCTAGTGGTAATTCTTTAAACAAATACTTTTACAAGACAGCTTACAGTTATTTTAGAAGATTATGGATAATGACATAAATCAAGAAATAATAATAATGATGATAATATAATAATAATAATAACAAAAAAATTCAGCCCATTCGGTCTAGCCGTTTGGCTGGCTATAGGGAACTTATGAATGTCTTATTTTATGATAAAGAACTACTAGCTGAAGGGCCCAGCGTTGCCCATTGAAAAAAAAAGATTTTTTAACCTTTGTCACCCCCTACGTTACCCATGACATGAGTGTCAACAAAAATGTCAGTCCGTTTGGTCCAGAAGTTTGGTCGGCTATAGGGAACATATATACGAATGTATATTGTTTTATTATATAAATAGCAATAATAATAATAATAATAATGATGATAATAATAATAATAATAATAATAATAATAATTCATAAATTAAAATAATAAAATAATTATAATAATAAAAATAATAACAACAGATATAATAATCATTATAATTAATGATTCAATTAACTTGGAACACAGAACGTATGCTGTTCATTTTAGGGTTGTCCTCTAGCTCGACAGGGTTAAAATTCGACATACATGCAAGGAAAGCAAATGTTTAGTATAAACAATTTTTTTTATTTGTAAAGGAATTGAGTCTTTGCCACAAACTCAAAATGTATACTCCCTGTACCTTTGCAATCTGAGGGAATAAACCTTTGATATTTGATCTAATGCTGGTTTAGCACTTAACAGCTGCAGGTTGATTAACAGAGGAAGAGATGGCGATCACGCCAATTTGTAATCCCAATTTTAGGGAAAGTGCTTGTATAATCTGTTAACAGAGTACACAGGCTCAGAGTAAGCTGCTGGGTTCTGGGGGAAACTGCAGGGGGGGGGGGTCCTGGTTGTTACTATGGGGTACTACTGGGTACTGGGGGTACTGCAGGGTACTGCTGGGTATTTTGGGGTAATTTGGGGTAATTTGGGGTACTTTTGGATACTTTTGAGTACTTTTTAGTACTGTGTTGGTACTTTGGGGTACTTTGTTGGTACTTTGGGGTACTATGAGGGTACTGTGAGGTACATTGGGGTACTTAAAGATACTATGGGGTTGTTGGGGGTACTTTGGGGTACTTTGAAAGGTACTTTGGGGTGCTTTTTGTTACTTTGGGGTACTTTGTGGTACTTTGGGTACTTTTGAATACTTTGAGGTACTTTGGCGTACTTTGAGGAACTTTTTGGTACTTTAAGTGTTATTTGGGGTACTATGGGGTACTTTGGGTGCAATTTGGGGTACTTTAGGGTACTTTGAGGTACTTTGAGGGTTATTTTTGGGGTACTTTGGGGGTACTTTGGGGGACTTTGGGGTACTTTGAGGTACTTCGCTGTACTTTGTTTTTTTAGGGTACTAAATGAGGTACTTAGGGGGGACTTTGTGGGACTTTGGGATACTTTGGGGTACTTTGGGGTACTTTGGGGTACTGTGAGGTACTTCGGGGTACTTTGAGGTACTTTGGGAATACTTCCAGGTACTTAACAGGTACATCGGGTACTTCGTGGTACTTCCCGGGTGTTCATTAGAAGGTAAAACACTGGATTTGTTGCTGCTACTGTATTCCTGGGGTTCCTAGATTTTAATTGATATGCATAAAGCCATAGTTAAAATATTAAAATATCACAAATATCACAATATTATTCAATTACTGTCTCATTATACTAAATCCATCTTAAAATCACTCATTAACCAACTCCCCCATCATCCAATTACCTCATATAACTCATTCACTCACCTCATCCAATCACTCATTCAGTCTTTTCATCACTCCCTCACCTCATCATACACACTTAACACAAGTCTACTCTCTTACACACTCACACTCACTCACTCACTCACTCACTCACTCACATTACAATTCAATTGAAATTTTGTTCCTCATAACTTTTTATAGAAAACAAAATTTGATAAGTTTAAATATATTGTAAGGTTCAGACATTCAGGGTTACCCACAAAGAATGAGACTTCAGAGACTGCAGAGAAGTTATATTTATTATTCTCTGCAATAGTAAACATCTTTCTTTCTTTGCCTAATAGATATATAATTGCTATTAAAAGATTGTATTCAAGGTAGAAGATTTAATTTAACCTTGGAATCGTGATTTAGAGTTTCATGTCGTCTTGACAGCCTCATCCTTTGTGAGTAACCCTGTATGTGAGAAACATAATAGAAACAACGAAAAATCACTCATTAAGCAACTCATCTCATCTCTCAACCTCATCAACTCATCTCTCAACCTCATTAAGCAGTCTCTTTATCTAAAATAGCCATCACATTTAAAAGACGACATTTAAAGAAGTTGTTTGAAATTGTAAAAAAAGAGGTACAGGGTGTCCCACGAAACATGACAATAGCAAGACGACTTGAAAGTCGTCTTTGATATTTGAATTTATTTGTGACATTTAGTCTTCTATCTACTTTAACATGTATGATTCTTGAAACAATTATCACATAATTCTCCTAGCCCTGGCATTTCCAAAAAGTGGTCTGCATTTTTGTGCTTTCAATATTACCGGAGATATAAAGAATTTGGTTCAGATTTCAATTTTGTTAAATAAAAGCAAAATTGTCGAAATCTAAACGAAATTGTTCATATCTCGGGCAATATTGAAAGCACAAAAAATGCAGACCACATTTTGGAAATGGCAGGACTAGGGGAATTTTGTGATTATTATCTCTAGAAATTTACTTCTAAAATTAGGTTGACAAATAAACGCAGCAAATTATATCAAAAATCAAGACGACATTCAAGGCCTCTTGCATACTGTCATGTTTCGTGGGACACCCTGTAGTTTAAATTAGATTTTAGCAAGTAAACCAAGTCAATTTTTGTATTCAGGGAGCTGAGACAATTTGTTCAGGTTAGTCTGAAGAATAAGAAAATATTATAAAAATCACAATATTTACTGTCATGCGAATTACAGATTTTGCAAAAAATAAAGTTCCTTTTGCAATTTTTTCTTAACACATTGCACATTTTCACACAAGGGTTCCCTTCAAAACTGACGGTTTATTTTATGGTGCGTCTTTTTTAATATTCATAAATTGCTTTTAAAAATATAAGCCATTTTTTGTGAAAATCAGAATAGATTTGCAAAAAAAAGTTTTACAGTTTACATTAAGAGAAATCATCCTTATTACATATTAACACTTAAATATTGAGATCTAAATATATATGTATTGCGTGACGCGACTGGATTTTTTAAAATCACACTTTAAAGGCCCTGAATGCACCATTTAAAAAAGTAGTTTTGCCCGGAAGAGTCAAATGTGGTGGTACGGAAGGGGAAATAGTGGTGGCTCATGGCCGCCTGCCTTCCCCCGCTCCCGGTAATATTAAAAGCACAAAAAACGCAGACCACTTTTTGGAAATGCCAGGGCTAGGAGAATTATGAAATAATTGTTTCAAATCAGTAGAATATAGTCTTTTTAATTTTAAGTTGAGAGAAGACGACATTAAATTAGTTTTATGATTCTGTTTTTTTGAGGCATTTCCGTGTTGAGTCGTTTCCGTGTTGATGCGTTTCCATGTCACCAATCATACATGTTAAAGTAGATAGAAGACTAAGACGACTTTCAAGTCGTCTTGTTATTGTCATGTTTCGTGGGACACCCTGTAGCATCGTTTGATGATTTGAAAGAAAGACGACATTCAAGAGGAAATACATTTTTCTTGCCAATCGGCTTTACCCCCTTCAAAATACATTTAAGAACTACAGAGCGTCCCATATCATATTAGATTATCAACAATCTTTAACGCCAAAATACGCACATAATACGCAAAATATCTAGCATTTTCTGCCAACAAACAACAACAACATTATGTTTCTGTCTACGGAAATCAGCTGGAATTTTGTCAATAGATTCTTTTGTATGGGTTTACGCTGACTTGGAGAACAAAGATTATTTTGATTAAAAATTACATAAACACAATTAATCCAATAGATTACTTAATAACATGTTTAGTAATTTTAACAAAATGTAACCGTAAGCATGTTGGTTTCGATTTTATCATGAATCATCGTAGAAAAGGTATACAGTTACCTACACAACTTATAGAAATATTTTGTTTTTCATACACGACCATGATTATTTTTTCATTACAATTGATTTGGACATATCTTGTCGTTAATATATCAGAAAATGTTTTCTTTACTCTGGCTTTAATAAAATTATCTTTTTTGTGCTGTAATTTCTTTTATTTAATAAAATAAATTAGGGTCCGTCGTATAGAACGATTTTTAGGTAGGTTTAGAGCTACAAAAGCCCCCAGCTGTCTCTAGGAGCTCCTAATTGCGCCTCTGGGCGTCAAAGACCAAAAGACGGAACATATTATGTCTAAGAAAGTCTTTATCTTAATAAAACTATGATCAGAGACCAGATTTGATAAAACTTTTTTCTTTGAAAAAACTATATATTTAAGAAAAATTGCCTATATATTATCAATTTCTGGAATCTTTGTATTAATATAGAGGAATAAATTTCTAAAATTGTGACAGTGTCTCTTACGAAAAAAAAAATATCTAAAACTCAACTTCTATCCTTGATTTATGTAATTATAATTTTTTTAGATTTAAATTGAAGAAAATTACTGATCAAGTAAATAAATTGTTAAAATTGAAAAGAATTTGTTTTACTACGAACTATGTCAGCTACTTATTTCAACTACTTAAACTATTCATTTTTAATCTAAATATATTTTTTTTTCTAAAACTCGCTGTTTATTTGGAACAAACTTAATTTTAAAAAGAATTCCTTTACGAATTATCTCACAATAGTTTACCAACAGTATACGTTCTAACATCTCTTTTTTTGCACCCTTCCTCTTTAATTTTAAATTATGTTTTATCTAATATTTATTTTCAGATTTAAATTGAAATAAATGACTGATTGAGTAAAAGAACTGAGCACTAGTATGCTGGCCTGGCTTAGGAATATATTTATATATTTTTAGATTGTGGGCTAGCTGGGTCTCTTTAAGGGACTGTGGGCTAGCTGGGTCTCTGTAAGGGACTGTGGGCTAGCTGGGTCTCTTTAAGGGACTGTGGGCTAGCTGGGTCTCTTTAAGGGACTGTGGGCTAGCTGGGTCTCTCTAAGGGACTGTGGGCTAGCTGGGTCTCTTTGAGGGACTAAGGGACTGGCGTAATTTTAATTTACCCTCCATTGTTATCTGTGGTATCTTTGATTCGTAACTATAAAAACCTATTCCTGATCAGAAAATCACAAAGAAATTATTTTTAATGATGAAAAATTTAAATTTATTTTGTCGTGTACAGGAGTATGGGGAACTGTTTGAAAGCCCCAACCCAGGACGATATTTCATTGCTTAGGTGAACATTTTATTATTTACATTGGGACAATTTATACTGTGAAATAGGAAGACGACTTTGGGACTCAAATTATGATTTTAAATAGTTTAATGAACATGAGATACAACATTTCACTGAAGAAATGTGGATTTTTTTATTTAAAGTTTAATTATGTTTAACTATTTTATAACACATAACAATTGTTAAATATCGTCAACCTATTCCACAGTTTTTGGGGCCACACTTTAATTACAATTTCTGAAACAAATGAAAAATTGTCTATTTTTGTCTCTAGTTTGTAGGTAGGAAAACAACTTAATGAACCTTAGATATATTAGGAAACTTGAAATTTTTAATAATCTCATTTTTAAGAGTTGAGATTTGTGTCTAAAATTTCTTTATTTGTAACAGGTTTAGTTTATATTTTGTCTCTTGGATAAAGCAAAAAATCTAGCGGATCTGAATTAGGATCCTAGTGAGATAAAGCTTCTGTTATGTTTTAAAGCTCCCCCTCCCCTCTTTCAAAAATGATTTTTACCCCCTAAAACATCGGAGTAGACAGAATTATTTGGATAATAATGATTTTTATGGAAAATTTTTAAAAATTGTACAAAGGGGGAAATCTGTCAGTTGATGTCAAAAAACGTGTAAAACCGGTTCCCCCCCTGGGGGGGGGGGGGGCGATAATTCTTCCAAACAAATGACCTCCATTTTTTTATTTGTAGGGATGGAGGGAATAACAGTGTTTCTACTGAACGATTGGAAACCTCTTCTTCTTATGCCGAGGTAACATTTATTATAGTTTGGTTTTAGCGTAGGACAAATGATGTTTAGGACTAATGATTTTCAAAACAAATGATTTTTAGGACAAATGATGTGCAGGACAAATAAAGTGTCGTAAAATGATGTTTGAAAAATAATTTGTAGGTCAAACGATGTTTAGGACAAATGATGTTTAGGAAACATTATGTGTAGGACAAATGATGTGTAGGAAAAATTAATTGTAGGACAAAAATGTGCCGGAAAGTGTTGTTAAGGCCAAAAAATAAAAAATACAAATGATGTGTAGGACAAAAAACGTTGAAAAATAGTGTAAAGAACAAATGATGTGTGCGACAAAAATGTGCATGATATTGATGTGTAAGACAAATCATGTGTAGGATAAATCATGCGCCTAGGATAAATCATGTAACTAGGACTAATCATGTGTCTATGAAAAATAATGTGTCAGGTCAAATGATGTGCATTGTGGAGGAAAAATGTTATGTAGGAGAAATGATGTTTAGAACAAATGATATGTAGGACAAAAGTGTGCACCATTTTGATGTGAAAGACAGCGATGCGTAGGACAGTTGATGTGTCTAGGACAAATGATGTGTAGGTCAAACGATGTGTAGGACAAATGATGTGTAGGACAGAGTATGTGTCTAGGACAAATCATCTGTAGGAAAAATGATGTGTAGGAAAAATGAAGTGTAGGAAAAATGACGTGAATGACAAATGACGTGTAGGACAAATGAAGTGTCGGACAAATGATGTGTAGGACAAAAGATTTGTAGGATTAAAGATGTGTAGGCAAAAATTATGTGAATGGCAAATGACGTGTATTGTGTAGGATAATGATGTGAATTGTAAATGACGAAAGATGTGAGGACAAAAAATGTGCGTTTATGTAAATGACTCCTAGGAAAAATGATGTGCAGGACACAAGATAAGTATTGAGAAGGACAAATGGTGTGCAGGACAAATGATAAGTATTGAGAAGGACAAATGGTGTTGCAGGACCAATGATAAGTATTGAGAAGGACAAATGGTGTTGCAAGACAAATGATAAGTATTGAGAAGGACCAATGGTGTGCAGGACAAATGATAAGTATTGAGAAGGACAAATGGTGTGCAGGACAAATGATAATTATTGAGAAGGAGAAATGGTGTGCAGGACAAATGATGAGTATTGAGTAGGACAAATGATATGTAAAGGCGGCAGCGGTCTGGGATGTCTTACAGCAATTCCTCATGTGCGTTAGGACAAATGTTGTGTAGGACAAATGACGTATTGTTTAGGGAAAAAAATGTGCGATGATATAAAGGAAAACGATTCGTAGGACAAATGACGTGCAGGAGGACAAATGAAAAGTAGTGTGTAGGACAAATGATAATGATGAATTAGAATTAAATCTCGAAATATTATTTAGGAGAATTCTCAGACTGCTCCGGTATATTATCCATCACCCAACGTCTCAAGGAAAATGAAATAAAATTATTATCAACCCCTGACACTTCACCCCCGCCCTCTCTACAGTTTATAATGCTTTGTCGGTGAAATTTTTTTTAGTTAAAAAAACTGTTAAAAATAATTGTTTCTTTTTAGATTTTGAATTAAAATATTTTTATTTTTATTTTTCAGTTTTTAACGTTTTTGGCTTCTGTAATTTATTCAGAGCTGGGAACTTGATATCGAGATCCAATGTGGGCACTTTCAATTTGAGGATCTATAAAATCTTTACCTTTCCATGTCTTCATTCTAATTATACCGCCTCCTTTCAACCCCTGTACTGACTGGGTAAGACTGCCATGTAGAATGAAGAATAAATAAATCTGCAGATTGACAAAAGATCAAGATTAAGCATTGATCTCGATATCCACAATACAAGATTTCCACCCTCTGTTCTTATTAGTCTAAAGAGAACATAATGGACAGTTAAAGAGTAATTAAACAAATTCTCTGTTATCTGACAGATTTTTTCTTCCTGCGTCGTTAAACAAATAAAAATATTGCAGATTTTAACAATTTCTCAAACAGTAAATATATGAAGTATTATTTCATAATTTTTGGAATCCAGGTCTGCTAGTCAGTTAACAGAGGAGGAACAGGTAAAATAATGGACCCCGGACAGGGAATAATAGTTTCTTTTCCGTGTCCCCTTGTTCAACATTTTTTCCGTCACAGAAAGTGGAAACGCCTTCCTTAAAATATTTTTTTTGACTTTTTGGTCAAAATTGGGAAATTAAATAAATTTTTGGGTTGAACGGTATCATGAAAGGGGAAAAAATCCACCACTCCAAGGGGGGAGGGAGGGGAGCTCTTGAAAATATACAGGGTGTCTGAAAAACTATCTTTTAGGCACTACTAGAGCTCTGAGTTCAATCTTCAATTTAATTTTAATCATAGTTTAATTTTTACATTTAAAAATCTTCTTTTGATTCCTGATCGATACACTACACACCCAATAATATATTTGTAGCACTAAAATTAAGGAAGTTTTATTTATCAAATTCTAGAAAAACAAAATGGAAGTTACGTGCGCGTTGAATTACAAGAGAAAGAGAGAGAGTCTGTTTTTTGCAGTTGCGCTCGGCCCCTAGCCTGTCTCCCCGCAGCGCTCGGCCCCTAGCCTGTCTTACGTAACCTAACCCTAAAATATATACTAGCCTCTATCTTGTAATTCAACGCGGCAAGTGCACGGTGCTTCCTTGTGCAACTACCATTTAATTATTTAATGTTGCATTTGAGAGGGAAATGGCGACTGTTGATATGACAATGTGAATCAGAGCGATTTTAAACTCATATTTTTCTAAATTTTTTTTACAGACCTCTATCTGGTCTCCATCGATCTGAAATGTTACATAAATAAAAGAAAATCTAAAAATGTTAATATTGAACTATGATGAGAGCTCTAGTACATTAAATTTTCATTGGTTGGTTGGTTGGTTGGTTGATTGATTGGTTGGTTGGTTGGTTGGTTGGTTGGTTGGTTGGTTGGTTGGTTGGTTGGTTGGTTGGTTGGNTGATCGGCTGGTTGGTTGGTTGATTGATTGATTTAATGGATTGAATTATTATTATTGTTCAAGGTTAAAATAGCTCAACGGATTGGTTTGATCCAACATCTACCAACAGGAACTTTTGATGGCTGTAAGAAGAACAGAGAGTGAGTACTGAAAGAAACATTAAAATTTAAATTAAATTAAATTATCGATTTCACTTTTAATCTAAATTTGCTCAACTCTGGTTGTATGGGTATGGAAAATCTCAACATAATCGAGTGAACCAAATTTCTAAAAACCACATAAAGTCACTTGTAAAAAATTATGAAAACATAATGATATAAGTATCAAAGTTGCGACTGAAGACTGTGAATACTATTCATTATTTTTGTTTAAACTATTGGCTAAAATACCTATTTTTCCTTGGATTTTTATGCTTGTTGATTCGAAACACAAAATTCATAAATGTCACGTTTCTGAATTTTGTGTTTCGAGTCAACTTTGTTTTTGTCAAATGTAACAAATGTAAGACAATTTTATTTGCACGAATAATGTATTTCCTGCAAGTTTCTGATGTTTTAAAATCCAAATCAAAAACTCAAATTTTAGGGTTACACTTTCAAGCCCTGAAATTAGTTGAGGTCCATTAAGAAGTTTTAGCCCACTCGGGTTAGATATTTAAATATATATTTGATCCATGATTTTCAAAGCTCAACCTTGCATTTTTCTTATAGATCTTTGTTAAACAATTATTATGTATGAACCGATAAAAGCCATTGTCTTTTTTTTATTGAATATTATCTTTAATATTGATTTTGTTCAGATGCGTAATCTGTATGATTGAATTTAATGTCGGTGATCTGATCAGGTAAATAATTTTTATCAGTGTCGGTAATTTTATAGTTTAATACCAATGTCGGTTATTTTAAAGTTTTAGTTGGCGGTGAAAGTGTCTGTGATATCATAGTTTAAATCATTGTTACACAGGAGTTTCCTAATTACTCAATTAGTAACCATTAAAAAATACCGATATCTCCATCGTTGATGATCAGATAAAGGGCTAAAGGGAACCGTTGTGAATCCGAAATGTCACTTTAAACAATGGGTTTGTTAATGTTACTACGTCAATTAAAAGATGATCAGAGCTGGGAACTTTAGAATGGTGGATATCAAGATCAATATTTGATCCTCTCTTTTTCTTAATATCAAGACTAACCTAATCTTGTACTTGTATCCTGAAAAGTGTATAAAATTCAACCAATCAGTGTCGCGTATCAGAAGCCGGGAAATTTTACATTTTGCGCGCCATTTAAGATTAATCTGGACCTGGATAAATGCGGAATGGAGTGATGTAAATACTGTTTAGATATCTACCCTGCATGCATACATATCATACAGTCTGCATTGATGATTGGCTTATGAGGTAAAGCAAATTGAATTTCCACAAAATTTTTCAGGAATCTATAATTTTAAGAACCCCTCCGGCCCTGGGCTAGGGGAAGGAAATAATTTCTTATATATAATGGGCTAGTTTAGAATCTCAAAACAAAGCTAAGAACATTTCCGTGGGTCTCCTTAGTTCTCCAATTAAAATTCGAGGCAAATCAGTCAAGGGGTTCCTGAGTTATGATCGGCCAAACAAACAAACTGTATCTTCATAGATTGTAAAGCACAAAAACCAAGATGATAAATAGCTGGGTCTCTTTAAGGGGACTGTGGGCTAGCTGGGTCTCTTTAAGGGACTGTGGGCTAGCTGGGTCTCTCTAAGGGACTGTGGGCTAGCTGGGTCTCTTTAAGGGACTGTGGGCTAGCTGGGTCTCTTTAAGGGACTGTGGGCTAGCTTGGTCTCTTTATGGGACTGTGGGCTAGCTGGGCCTCTCTAAGGGACTGTGGGCTAGCTGGGTCTCTCTAAGGGATTGTGGGCTAGCTGGGTCTCTTATCCAGGTTATTTCAATAAAATTTACTGAATTTTTTTAACAAAGCAGAACTTTAAGATTTTTGTCTGATTTTATGCTAAAACTTGATGAACTATTCAGAAATAAGGAAATTTTTATAATCTCTTTTTTTCAATAGTTCAGATTTGCGTTTTGAGAGTAATTTTTTTTTCTTTCAGTTTTTGGTCGATATTTTGCCCCTTGGATCCGGATCCGTGGATCTGCATGTTTTTGCGGTTCCGGATCCGAATCCAGGAAGCCAAAATATTGCGGATCCAACGGATCCGGATCCTAAGCACTGTTTTAAATAATGCAGCAGATAAGTTTATGTAAATCAGTCCAAACCAAATATCTCCTGAATATCGTCTTCATAGTCCAGAGTTTTTTGGATCTCACTGTAACAAATAATTCTTGTATTTAGAATATAAATTTATTATTTTAGATCTTTTACGTGTCCTTCATGTATGGAACCGGTGGATGCGGCACTGCTAGGTAAATTTCTAGTAATTTGCTCTAGAACGCTTCGCGCCATTCTTCTAGTAATACTTTTAGCATTGAACTTTTGACTTTTAAGCCGCCGCTTTTTCAAAGTTTAATTGGAAAACATAGTTTTTCGATGATTTTTTATAAAACTGATGGATTTCTGAAATAAAAAAAATAGTTACTTTTAAAAAAAAATCCAATTTCGACCTGCAATATCCCCGGGGTCATGTGAGTTGCCACAAAAAAATTGTAGCCGATCGGTTCAGCTGTTTAGACTTTTACTGCAATTTTGTATAACACTAATAATATAGATTGGTTTCATTTAAGGCACTGTCGGCGTAATCTTAATTGACCATTTATTTAAATATTTTCATGCCATTTTTTACAAATGATACAATTTAAAACCTTGAACAGTAACAAAGAGAAAAATTTCGTCTAACTTATTTGTCTTTGTAAATTAATTCCGTTATCAGAGAAACTGAAAGTTTCAAAAATTGAGAATATCTTAATAACTTGATAATGGAGGTCAATTCCAATTCGTCGAAAGGATAATATCTCTAATTGACTCTCACTAATGGCTGTTTAATTTTAGTCGCCTATGATTCTAACTAAGCAGAGTGGACGCCAGCTTGCAGAAAACATTTACCATTCATACTGATCAAATTTTGAGTTCTGATCAGGGTAATGATCTTTCCAAAGAAAACATCAAAGCGCAGAGCTGTTCACAATGAAGCTCATATAAGAGAAGTGATCTTTCCAAAGAAGATCAACAAAGCTGTGAGCTGTTTAAATCATAGCTTAATAGGAATAACAATATTTCTAAAGAAGATAATAAAACTCTGAGCTGTTAACATCATTATGATCAACAAAACTGCTCTGCAAGATTCTATATTGATCTTAAAATCAGATCAGAAATAACCCCAGTCACTTGATCTTTTGCCTGAATTTTAAAAATCTACTGAACATGGAGAAGTTAATGAATGATAATAAGTTGCTGAATTAGGTTAAGTTAACAAGGCCACAACAGAAAATTATTTTATTTATCCTTACCTAGTTTAACTACTTCTTAGCATTGATAAATTCCTGCCTTCGTTTCAACTAATATTTAAAAAAAACACGAAAAACTCCATTTTATTAATACTTTTTTGTGGCTTTTTATAAACTATTAAATTTAGGTATTGGTGTTTTTAATATAACATTCTTCCAATTAAGGAAATTTTTCAATTAAAACTTACTTTTGGGTTATGATATCCACATATTACATACTGTCGTCGTCATATGTACCAAGAAGACGACTTTCTATTATAATTTTCAATTTCTACCAATCTTTCAATCAGCTGAAGCACATGAACATGTAAACTAAAAAGAAGATGTCAGCTTCTCGTTATTTACTTGTATACTTGTAATTTGAAAAATGCTTGTGAATCAAAGCATTATAAATAGAAAATTGTCTTCATTGTATTGATACAATCCCCGACCACTAAAGGAATAAAGGTAGTTGTGTTACTTGATCCAACAGTGATTATTTTGTATTGCAGTATATTTGGACTAAACCCATTAAAGTTTTAAATTCTACAGGACTTACGTTGTATTTGAAGTGACCGTCCATTAAAAAAAAGGCATGTCCGATTTCCAGTGGTACCCTCTCAACCTTGATTTGGATGGTATCTAATTCATACATGATCAGACTAAGCTTCCATGGGTACCGTCGTGAATCGGGCATTGCCATCTTTACCTTGAGGGTCACTTATAATTATGCGTACAGTCCCTTTAAGTTCGCATATATCAAATTTACAGTAAAAATTTAAAAATTACGAACTTTTCATCTCGATATTTCGAACAGAATGATCAGGATATACAAAAATTGGTGAAATTTCTCTTAACATTATTTTAATAAGTTCGAAAGAACTGTTAGTAATTTCGAAATGTAGGATTTGGATATTCGAACGTAATGTTAGTATTTCCAAACATCTTGAATATATTCTTGTAAATTTTTATCTGGTTATTTTATTTATCTTACAATTACATGTTTTAAAAAGATCATTTTTGTCGAATGTCGAAAATTGCATTATCAAATTCATGCTTATATATATTAGAAGTAGATGTAAATTAGATTCAAGGTGGTTTATTAAGGTTTGATACTTTGGATGCGCTCACATGTCCTAGAAATGTCGTCTTCATAGCTATGGACACTCAAAATTCTTATTTGACGTAACTGATTATTGGCGGGGAAATAAGTGACAACGTTGCTGCTCAGAGGGTAAAGGAATTTGAGAACCCCCCCCCCCTTCCCTACTGACCAGCAACGTTGTTACTTCATCTTCCGCCAATAATCAGTTAAGTCGTATGAGGATTTTGTGCGTCCATCGCTTAGGAAGACGACATTTTGAGTTGATTGGAGCGCATCCAGGGTATCTAACCTTAATAACTGACCTCGATTAAATTAGTATAATATTATTGGACAATCTTTTAGTCAACGTCTCAATAAACTTGAAAACTAAATTAGCTAAATTTTGAAAATTTGTAAATTTTTGGAGCACAGGAAATAATGCAAACTATATTGATCAATATTTTAGTCTCACAGGAAGCAGGGGGAATCCCAAAAATCAATGATTTAACAAGACATTTAAAAATCTATTCAAATGAAATGAAAACAAATTGTTCAATTTTTTCTAGACAATTTATAAAAATTTAATCGCCATGCTGGATTCGAACCCTAAAGAAGTTTTAACTGCCGTTTTTTTAATCCTACGTTTTTGCAATGCTTCACACACCATCTTAAAGGTACTAAAGACGTTATTTTAATTGAATCCCTATTTATAGAGCGGCATGTTGGTCCGATTTATTAAAAACCTTTTTCTGATCAATGATGAGAAAGCCGTCGTAGTTGTAACCTAGAAAATAATAATTTTGAGTTTCCACCCCTTTTCATGCTTCATAAATACGTCACAGTTATGGAGAACCACAACTAAAAATGATTAATTTTAAGGATGCCATTTCCATCAATTTTTCTCGGACTAAAGATGAATGATTGCCGTTGTGAATCGGGACATGTCACTCTATAAATGAAGGGTCACTTAAAAGTACGTTTACAGTCCCATTAAGTATAACAAGTATAATTGGAAAAGCTGGACCAGTTTGAAAATATCTTTGATCCAGCTAGATTGATATTTTTAATAATAAATTAGAAACAAACTAGTTTAATTTCATTCGGAACCTTTTATCTCACCACATTCTTGAAAAAATAAATTCCCTTTCCTATTTTCAATAAAAATTTGTTTTCGCAAAATCTGGGAAATGAACTTACGAGTAAAAGCNGTCATGAAATGTAATACCCCTGGACATATTGGGCCTTTAACTCCTATTTAATAAATGTATTTTTAATTTGTCTAAGTAATGTAGTTTACTAAAATATATTCTAAGATGGAAAGATTAAAAACAGTTCTGTCACCAATTATTACTTCATTTTTAAGATTCTACTTTTCAAGATGCATAAAATATCCATTATAATAAATGATTATTATTTAAATTAAAAATTAACTTAATAAACGGTTTTTTAGTTGGGTTGCTTGCTTTCATAGGAATTGTTAAAATTTAAACTTTAAATTAAATATTTTGTCGAATCGTAAGGAGATTTAAACAGAAAATAAGAACAACAATTACACCCGCATTTTGTGAAACTCTAGATACATGTTCATTGGATAAAGGGTAAAGGATAACTAAATGAATTCCATGCTTTTTTTTAAAAATAATATCATAAAGAAAGGAAGATATTGAAGACAAGAATTAAAAAATATTCTTCATCTTAGAATATATAAATAAGAACAGTGAATATAATTGTGAATCGTAACTATATCGTGATGAATAAATTTTAAATAAATCTCTATTAATTTAAAGGCACTGTGTGCGAAATGTCAAGGAACCCTCCCGCCAAAGATGACAATGCTCGATTCACAACCATACCCTTGATACATTTGATCAAAAATGTGAAACATAATGCCGTTTTTCTACAGGTGTTCAATCCTGATAAATCCTTTGTTATCTTGGACCCTTGTGAATAGGGTATTTTTATCTTTGCATGAAGGGTCTATTTCCGAGTACAGTCTCAATTAGACCTTGCTTAGTAAATGTAAATGCAAAAAATTATTATATTCCAGTTTTTGGTTGATATTTAACCCCTTTGGTCTGCAAAGTTTTACGGATCCGGACTCAGGAAGCCAAAATGGCCCCTTTGATTTGCATATTTTTGTGGATCCAGGCCCGGTAAGCCAAAATGGCCCCTTTGATTTGCATATTTTTGTAGATCCAGGCCCAGGAAGCCAAAATGGCCCCACTGATCTGAATAATTTTGCGGATCCAGACCCAGGAAGCCAAAATGTTGCGAATCCGGATTTAAAGCACTATTTGAGAACTCTTGAAAAATGTGCCTTTCTTTCTGTAGGGCGGGGGTGGGTGGGGGGGTAACGAGAGGTATTTAATCTATTAATGTTAGAACTATTAATATCTCTGGTCTAACTATGGTTCATAAATTAAAATAATTTAACGTTTTATTCTAACGCTCATCTATCACAACATTCAGATGTTCTTCAGTCACTGAAGAACTTTTACATAATCACATCTAGAGTATTTTCGTGAATTAATAAAAACATATTTCAAACTTAAAATGTTAATTTGCAAAATAATTTAACATTTTATTCTAACGCTCATCTATCACAACATTAATATGTTCTTCAGTCACTGAAGAACTTTTACATAATCACATCTAGAGTATTTTCGTGAATTAATAAAAACATATTTCAAACTTAAAATGTTAATTTGCTAAAATTATTTAACAGAAAACTAAAAATACTGCATAAGAAAAATTTTATAAATAACGTTGGGGAGTGAAAAATTGGAGGACATTTTTTCTTGGAGTGGAAAATCGGAGGGATTTGGTAAAAAGGAGTGAAAAATCGGAGGGATTTGATAAAAAACGAGTGAAAAATCGGAGGGATTTGGTGAACTCGGAGGAATTTGGTAAAAAAGAGTGAAAAATCGGAGAAAATGGGTACAATGTATGGAAAATTGTCAGTATTTTGTTACTAAGAGTGGAAAATCAGAGACTTAAAGTGCTACAAGTTGAAAATCAGAGGGATTACAAAATTGGCCTTGAAGATTTTTAAAGTGGAAAACGGAGGAATTGGATAAAAATAATGGAAAACTGAGGAAATGCGAGCAAGGTGAGAAAATAAATACAGAAAGTGTTTAGTTGGCGGGAATAGGTTCAGACAATGTAACATTAAATTAGAGGGATATGTAAAATCAGAGGAAATTTATTCGTGCACAGTCGGAGGGAATAGGGTTAGAACTTTTAACATATCGGAGGGAATAAGAACTGAGAATACAAATACAGGAGTGTAAACTCGGAGGAAATTTAGAAAGTGCACAATAGAAGGGATTAGTTACAGGAGATAAATACATGGGAGTAAACCCTTTTTGTGTCATAAGTTGGATAAAAGCGTGAATGTGGGACAAGAGTATGTATATCTAAGTGTAGTCGTGACAGAACTTAATCCTGTATCAAAGATTGCGGGAATCCGTTAACAATAAAATCAAGTCCCTTTTCTGGTTCGTACATGTGGTTGAGGAACACCTGGGTTGCTTCTGCAGGAGTCCACCGATGATCAGGAACCTTCTCGATATCAAACCCGTCGGGGAGTTCATTCTCAAAGTAGTGAGTGTACATTTCAACCAGGTTTTCTTTCGTGCATTTTTCAAACTTCAACTTCAGATCAATCCGTCCCGGACGAATAAGAGCTTTGTCAAGTTTCTCTGGGTAGTTTGTTGTAATGATGAGCATACGTCCGTCCATCTCCATCACCCCGTCCAACACCTCTAGCAGGGTGGCCAGGGTTAGACGGTTGGACTTTTTGTCAAAGTTGGCGCTGGAGACCTTCAAGAAGTTGAGAAGATCCATGCTACCCTCATCCATATCTTTCATCGTGCTTGTGTTAATATTCTCAGATTCTGTCTCAGATCCTTCCTTCTCTGTCTCCTTGAAATATTTCCAAAATTACTCGGATTTATAACAAATAGGACATAAAAAGTCAAGTCCCCCCCCCTCCCACTTTAATACTTTTAACCCCAAAAATATTGTTTATTTATTTTAACAAGCATCTGGGGATGAAATTGATTCTCAAGAAGGGGTGGGGACAATGATTTTTGAAGAAAATATATACCCCTACCTTGGATCTATCTGTCACAATATTCTTGAGGTCGGCGCAATCAATATCCTCCAGAACGTACAACCTCTGGTTCAACGGGATATCCTTGTAGTTCATCTTCACATTGTAGAAAACATTCAACAATTCCTTTCCAGTTTTAATTTTGTTCAGAGGAATGGCAACAATATGACGCTGGGTGTGGTTGGCAATGGCTTTAATGGTCGAAGTCTTCCCACAGCCCGGCTCACCGTAGAACAAGAATCCCATGGTGTACGGTATACCGCGGGCTTTGTACCAGGCCTTGTTATCCTGGAAAAAGTTGATGCGCCGCAAAATATCTTTCTTTTCCGGGAAAAATATGTTGTCAAAGGATTTTCCTGATTCAAACCTGAAAAAAATATTTTCAGTTTTAAGGCACTAAATTAAGTTTCAGGTAAATTTCAACTATAGAAACTGTATATTAATATTAATTTCTTCAACCCCCCCCCTCTCCCGACCCACCTCCCCCTTTATTTTGTATAGACTAAGAACTGTTTAAATAATCAACCTTGCAAATCAATAAATATTGTAGAAAGCTGTTAGGTTTCTTTATAATAAATTACCTAGGTGAAAAAGTAATAAGTGTAGAGGATAATTTGTGTTTCTGACACATTAAAAAAATTGGTGTTTTTTAGGAACACAGTGAGAGAAAAAAATGAGAAAAAAAATAGAAGGGTGAGATGATACTTTTTCCAGATAATAAATACCCCAGTCGTATGTGCCAGAAAGTACCAACTGTTACAGATACAACGGATCCGATTATAAACATGGTGTCTAAAGTTTGATTAATGGTGTAAATTAACATTTTAAGTGAAGTTGCTGTATTTCATGTAATTAAACTATATATAAAAAACGTAGCAATTTTATGGGTACTTTCTGGCACCTACGACTGGGGTATTTATTATCTGGAAAAAGTATCATCTCATCCTTCTATTTTTTTTCTCATTTTTTTCTCTCACTGTGCTCCTAAAAAACACCAATTTTTTTAATGTGTCAGAAACACAAATTATCCTCTACACTTAATATTTACTTTTTCACCTAGGTAATTTATTATAAAGAAACCTAACAGCTTTCTAGCAACTTCACTTAATATGTTAATTTACACCATTAATCAAACTTTAGACACCATGTTTATAATCGGATCCGTTGTATCTGTAACAGTTTGGTTGGCTTCCTGGATCTGGATTCGAAAAAAATTTACTTTTTGCCCTCTAAACACAATTTTTAACTGTTTACTACGGACTAGTTATTATAACTTAACAATCTCTGCAAAGCGAAATAAAGAAAACAAGTTAAAATTTTACTTTTATAAAAAAAATCAGTAAATCTTATGGAAATGTTCATGACTGGATCGGGATCCATGTTTTAACAGTTCATATCCAGGATCCATGTTTTTACAGGACATATCCAGGATCCATGTTTTTACAGGACATATCCAGGATCAAAATAAAATGGATTCTAAGCACTATTATCTCATTGTAAATACAATTTTTTTAAACCAATTTTTTTTATTTTTTTTATTTAATATATCACGGTAAATACCTGAACTCTGAATAGTTAGATGTAGCATCATAATAATCCTCTGCAGATTGGCTGGACGGAGTGTACACAAAATATTTTAAATGTTTGTCAGAATTCAGATGTTTCTCGTATTCTTTGACCCATTGTTCAAGAAGAAGACGTAGGTCTTCAGCGTTCAAAACGTCGGAACAGATGGTCACCTGAATTTTATCAATATAATTTTAGATTTGAGGGGAGGGGGGGATGAAGACAAACCATGGAACCAATTAAGTTTTATCCCATTTTTAATGCTTTTAACCTTAGAAAATCGTCTATTATTGCCAAAGTTTTTTATAACTTTTAGTTATAGATCTTTCTAAAAATTCCAAGAAAATATAAACCTCTGATTGAAAGATAAAATGAGCTAATTGTTTCTGCTGCATAAAATCCGCAAGGCATTTTTTCAAAATGAGAGAAAACACAAAATTTTAATTGGAAAAAAGTTTTCTTCATTTCTTAACGGTTTAATTTATTCAAAGAATACACAACTATGAATCCTTTAAACAAAATTTCACTTGAAATTAAGTCTATATTTCCTTTAAAGGATTAACTCAAAATGGAAAAAAATATCAAATTAAATTAAATACCTGAAATTCTTCAGTTAACATTGGGTTTTTTTCATTGTTATCCTGGTTCTGCATTATGTTCACAATTCCGTAAACCTAGAGAAACAATAGATAAATCCGAGAATTTTTCTTTGTTCTAAAAGAGTGTTAAAAAAGATATTAATGGGTACCCATACAACTGTGGAAAAGGAAGACGACTTTTTGACTCTGTAATGATATGAAATGACCTTTTTCCGGAAACCCAGCAATTTTGAAATGTCAACACATCCCGTTTACTCATTGTAGTTTTTTAATTTACTGGTGAAATTATTTACTACTTATCAAGGTTATAATGCAAGGAAAGTTTTTTCAGAGGTGTATGCATCTTTTGTACTGCAGTGTACTGTCTCTGGGCGGTAATGTAAACACAAGACAGATGTATAAGCCTGACATGGGATCCATCTTTAACATAAAAAATCAATGAAATATTCTTTTCACAGGAAGCTATTATGTGAATTATCAAAATTATCAATATTAATGCTATTAACCTCCTCTTAAAATTTATCAAAAAATCACAAACATAATGTTGTATATTCTCAACAAATTAAATATCATTGGCTTTAATTCTATAGAAAAACTCAGTTATTTCATTTCCTTTGCATTTGGAATAATTAAAAAACCAACTCTTAAAATTTACCAAAACACGATCAAACTCGTAAAAACCCCACCAAATATATTAACGGATCCAATATTTAAAAATAAACTTTTTTGTCAAACAGATAAACAATTCGATGAAAAAAGAGTCTTCAAAAATTTTATTGTTAAAAGGAGCCTAATAGGAACATCCATTAGATTATTCTTTAACATAATACTGTCGATGGCAATTTTATTCGTCCTCCTTATGTCCCCTGACTCTCGCTGGATTAAAAATGTCCAAGATTCTTGTGCGTCTGCGCCAATCTCTCCATCAGCTCCGGCCACACGTCAGGGTATATTTTCCTTCCTACATACGTTGTGTACGCCGGAAAATTCCATGAACATACACGTACTGCACTCTCCAGGAACCAGTTCTGTCATGGCACAGCCTGAAACATGTGTAAAATTACATCTCAGTATCAGTGANAAAAATAATCAAAACAGCCAAGAGCTATTTTCCACCTAATTGCTTTATACTTGTACTGTTAATATAATCATCAATTTTGTGATTGTAAACTCTATCTGTATACAGATAAATTTATTTTAGCAATAAACGTTATCTTATCTTATCTTAACTCTTGAAACATGACAATTCTAAGGTTAGGTTATGTCCCCTGCCACAGATATTGTCTTGAAACATGACAATTCTAAGGTTAGGTTATGTCCCCTGCCACGGATATTGTCTTGAAACATGACAATTCTAAGGTTAGCTTATGTCCCCTGCCACGGATATTGTCTTTAAATGGCTTAATTAATGATTTGGCAAGGGAAGACATTTCAGAGACGATTGTAGGGAAAACATACTATCCCTTTCTATGGATTCATGGTTTCATACGACTGTACTACAGATGTTTCTTTCTTTAGCAACTCATTAAATATGCCTTTTGATGACTATAGTCCATGTCAGTTTTAATTGAACCAACAAATTGTCATACTTTAAAAATTTTAAAGTTCTGAAGATGTTCCTCATATTTTTCTTAAATAACTGACAATCTCAAGAACTGACGAGGGTCAACCCAGATCGAAATATATTTTCAATAAACATCTACTTTTTTACTCTACAGAGGTTTGGTCCATCACCATCACCAAATTTTAAAAATGAGTTTATCTTGGAGTAGGGCACTTGTAGAAGATGAAAGCTTGCGCTCATTTTTAAGATAACATTTCAATAAAAAAGTTTCTTAAACAATCTCAAAAATAAATTCCCCGTAAAATTATTAGTTCTCCCTGGTAACTAGGAACAAAAATCCAACTAATGAAGGATTGATAAATGAAGATTAACTAAGAACAATAATCAAACCAATGAGAGATAAATATATGAAGATTAACTAAGAACAAAAATCCAACTAATGAAGGATTGATAATGATATATAAAGATTAATTGGCGATTGATTTCAAAAAAGCTTTCGATTCTGTATCACATGAATATATTCTTGAAATCTTGAAATTCTTTAACTACTCGGAGTATATGATTAAGATTGTTAGAACCACTATGAAAAAGAAAATAGCCGGCATTATGACCGAGTCAGGTATAATCACCTTTTTCGAAGTACTATGTGGAGTAGCCCAAGGTGACTCTCCATCAGGCCTACTTTTTATCCTTTGTCTCGAACCTCTGCTCTGGAAGCTAGCACTTGACTCAGGAGTTGCCCATCCAATCTTCGAAAACGGTTCTCACATTGATGACAGTAGCTACGCTGACGATGTCTCCATCCTCGTTAACGGCGATCCTGAGAATATAATAAGTGTTAAGAATATTCTAGACAGATTTGGTAAACTTTCTGGCTTAATGATTAACGTAGAAAAAACTCAAGTTTTACCAATCAACGTAGTTCAAGGTTTTGCTGAAGATATTGCAGAAACTGGCTTTTCTATTGTGAAAAATCTAACGATTTTGGGTTTAGACATAAGCCAAAACTTGGACTTGGAAGATACTAATTTTAATAGGCTCATGGTAAAAATCAGAGGGATGGCGATATTCTGGAAAAAATTTAAACTGTCAATTGTCGGCCGAATGAATATTGCAAAAACATACCTACTCTCACAAATTGGTTATTTTGCCCCTGTACTTCCCTTCAATGAGACTCAAAAACAAACGCTTAGAAACGAGATAGGGTCTTTTGTGCGGGGGAATTTAAAAATGAGCATCAACATTGTATACAATCCAATACAGCAGGGAGGCCTTGGCATGATTGAACCTGGATCATACATAGATGGAATTAAAGTAGGTCTTTTCAGGAAATCGATTAACAATAATGATTTTTGGGCAAGAGAAATCCAGCAATATAGAATATCAACAGATTTTCCATTTCACTTTAAAAGTACAATAAATGCAAACACTCCTTGTGGTGAAATGACAATTTGTGCAAGGAAATTCAGTAACATTTTTTGGTCAACGAATGGTAATTTCCTTGATATGAGAATTTTTGATAACGATATTGCACGATTAGAATCCGGCGAGAAATTAGGCATGAACCATTTCAGAGCAAATCTCACACCTGAAACAATCCTCCTGCTAAAGAAAATGAGATTCGTCAATTTGGTAGACATTTCTAACAGCGAAATTTTCTCAGAAAATGGAGTAGCCTTATTTCTCGGTTTCCGTCCTAATCCTTTAGAAATATTTTACTTAAGATCAGTACATAGGAACGTTATGAGGAAGTTTGCTATGAACAAGGATAAAGCGTGCACCCCAATCCTCACCTTTTTTAGGAAAATAGTTAAAGATAGTGTTAAGATAAGGAGGATCATCGACAACATTAAGAATGAAGTTGTGTCCGGAGCGGTTTGAGAAAGCGCGCTGCACTGGCACACAATTACGAGGTAGATCCAGAGAGAGATTGCAACTTTTATAAGATTTTTAAAATTTCAAAGTTAAGGAATAATCTGAGAAGCTTCATTTTTAATTTTACAACACAGACCCTATATCACAATGCAATGATCGCACACTTCGTCCAGAATCACCACCCTACCTGTCAGCGGTGCGAGTTTGGGAACCTTAGGCCTGCGCCGAGAGAAACGATCTCTCATATCTTCTGTGACTGTCCCAAAATAAGCGAGATCCTTTCGGACCTTAACATCATAATATCAAATGGAACATTATCAAATGAAGAACTTAAAAGTGTAATATTCCTAGGTTGTAAAAATCCTTTAACCTTCAATGTCGAAAATACCAACATCGTCTGTTTCATAGCTATGTACTACATTTTTTCTACAAGAAATTCACGGCGATTTTACAATACCTCTAAGTTAAAGCAACTTATTTTCCACCACACTGAAAAACTTAATAAACCATTGTTCAAAGAATATGAACATGAATCTTAGTCTTTACTTCCTCATAATGTATATTTTCACTATAGCTGGTACCCCGCGGCAGGGTATAATAATTGCAACTTCCTCAACACAATTTTTACCAAACCAAATCAATTCCTTACTAAAAATTCTAAATCAGCCATTTTGTTACGAATTTAAAATAGAATTTTCTAGCATTTGGCAGCGCAAGCTCAGTCGATCTCATATTAGAAGAAAAAAATTAATATTGTTAACAATTTTATTCGTACGGAATCCATCACTCGATGATGATTCCGACAAACTATGCAAAGAAACTAGTCTATTCATGTATTCGGCCAGTCCGGAACAAACCATGGCGTCCTACCAAGGACGAACTAAAGTTAAAATCTCGAGATATACCTTAATAAGTATTCTCAGTTACATGCATAATACGCGGGAATTACATGACGCAAACCAATATAAAGGGCTTGTTAACGGTAAAGTTAATTACAGCAAAACCATAAAATATACTCTCTCTATGATTTTCAGAGAAATGTCGAAACTTAATGTACCTGTTCCTATGGAGGTGGAGGAGGTTGGAATGGAAGAATACATGCTGGACTACCAGAGGATGCTTGATGGGCCATACAGCCCCAGTGAGGTACAGGGTGAGGGTGTTGGGGACTGTGCTGGGAGGGATTTAGTTGTGAGGGAGTCTGATGTCATGGGCAGGGAGGGGGGGGCTGAAGGCGGCGATGCTGAGCCATTACCCGAGTCCAAGGATTCAATCCTTCCTTGTCCTGAGCATCGGTCTGATGAATTTGGTTCTGAAAGGGTTAATTCAACTATGCCAAGGGATGCAAGGGGTCGCGGTAATGAGGAAGTTGTCGGGAATCTAAGCGTCGCCGATGATTTTGTCCCCCGCTATGTCGTGGGACCATATCTGAGGATAAGTGAGTACCTCAACAAGAGCATTGTCAACACGGTCAAGAGAGCCTGGCAAGTGCCCCCGCGCCTCGCGAAACCTCCCACCCCCTTAGCTGCACCTCGGTCCGGGCTTGTGCAAACTCAGGGTGGCGGGATGGCGGTTGTAAAACTTGCTCCGAAGGTAAATCTCTCCGCGCCTAACTTTTTCGGACACCAGAGATCAGGGTATGCCATAAACCTTGCAAATTTTTCTTGCAACTCTAGTTACACGTGTACCTTTGATATTGTGAGGAATTGTAGGATTTGCCCCAACGAGCACGATGCTTTCCTGTCGAATTTGGTGGGGACGCTCGTTGTGGGTGACTCCTACACTCCTTGCATTATAGGCGGCGGAGGTAAATGTGTGCCTGTCTTTAGACAGCACAACGCGGGTTTTCGAGAAATAACTGCAAGCTTGAAGTACCTCCTAAAATATAGGAAGTCAACAAACAATGGCATGCCCTGCTCCCGTCCCAACTTGATAATTGTTTCCCTTCCAGGTCATCTACAGGCAGTGGGCCCTGATCAATATTTCAAAGAATTTAATATGTTCAAGGGGTGGATTCAACACTTTTTGCAAACGGGAAGGGACTATGACCCAGCTGACGAACGTATTTACAACCCATGTTCTACCTCGGTTCAGGTTTGCGAAGGATTTGCACCCTTCATAATGGGCGACACGGGTTTGTCTGAATCCTATGCAATCCTTGCGAGAACATTCAGGATTTTTTCAGCTGTCGAGCCGTCCGAAAAGCCGGGTTTCTTTTTTGACTGTTTCAAAAAAACAATGGAAAAGTTCTGTCCTGAACCCCGCAAGGATGGCATGGTCAGATATATCACCGTGGACCCCATAAAGCCTGAATTCGAGGTGTATGAGAACATGGGGTTTTATACAGGTCTCCCGGGAGCCCTTCTCAGAAGAGGAAATGTTGTCAATCCAGAGGTTGGGTTTTTCTTTTCGCAAGAGCTTGTCTCAATGATCAGGGATTGGCATTCAAAAGGGGAAATGGGGGTTTTTGTTAATACCATCACCCTGCCTGTAGAAATTGAGAGCGCGCTTCCTGCTGCTCACCTCACCGGAGGATGATGCAAATTTCGTTAAAGATAGCCTGTCAAACCTAAACCAGCGCGTAGTGGTCGTCGGAAACAGCAACCTCAAGATAATAAGCGAGGAGCTAAGCAAGACCATAAAAGACACCGTTGTCTTCGTCAAATATCCTTTCAACATCTTTGCCAATTCTTCTGAAATTTCTGAATTTGTTGACAATCTTAAATTGACGAAAGCTGACGTCTTAGTACTCGGTGGTCAGGGGAACTCCCTATTACAAGGGATGTTAACTCCCCAGTTTAAGAAACATGTACCATCTGGCTTACCAGCAGGTTTCTCAACGTTTGGAGCTGGTAGATCCAAAGTCTTCCACGCTCACAACGTTGCATCCTACGACCCTGAGTATCTTGACAACTTCGGGGTTTTCATTGACAAAATCATGGGTTTTGTTAACCAGACCGGTGCAAGGACAATTTTTTTACCACCCTTTCCAAGGTACCCTACAGCCTGTTGTACACAGTCAGGACATTTTTGCGCGGGGTACGACGGGAACCTCTTTAACGCGGAGGTCGTAAGATTGGGGACTTACATCTCACGGATGCACTCCCTCAAGGACGCATTCGTGCTTACTCCCGAGGACTTCTGTCATCGCGATGACTGGGTCTCGAGAGGGAAGATGTTGAAGGATGACCATGTACACCTGACTGATAAGGGAGTCCAAGTGGTCCGGTCAATGGTCCAGAAGTGCGTGCACTTCTTCAGGCCGGTAATGGACAGACCTAAGCCAACCCTGGGTCCCTCCATCCCATGCAACATCAAATTCTCCCAATGGGTTGAGGCTCACAGAGAGTCCTGCGGGTTCAGGAACCTGAAACCTTCAGGGGCCGGAAAACGCCCGCAGCCGCCCATGTCATATCAGAGGCAAGCAAAACGCTAAATCTTCTGAATGTGCACAACAAAAAATCGAAACCCTGCACAGTCTCCCCCCCCCGCCCACCTCTCATGGGTACTCCCGGCCTTTCCAGCAAAGCCTCGGTTTTTCCTGCAATTTTCGTCTATTCCTTTATCCTCATCCACTATCCAACTCCTTATCCTAATTCCTAACTAACCCTATACCTATCCTAATCTCAAAGATTTTTTATTCCTACCCATACCCTTCACCTTAAAACCAACACTTTAGTTTTCTCAATCCCAATACTTTTCTTCCAATCAATCAATCTAAATCTTACCTTTAAATTCCTTAAAATAAAAATATTTCCTATTTTTGCTGACTTATGTACACATTTTTCAGCAACAACTCCACTCAGCACTGACTTTTTACTTTTCTAACTCCTAAAAATAAAAATACTTCCTATTTTTGCTGACTTATCCCAATATTTTTCAGTGATAATCATTAAAATTAAACTATATTTCCTACTTTTGCTGACTTATATTACTATCTGTCAGTATCTAAGCTTTTAAACCTATCCTACTTTTAAATGTAATCCTGCTGCCTTAACACCTCAACTTTCTCACACAGAGATAATCAGAAAATTTAAAATAAAATATATCTCCTATTTTAACTTTATTTCCTATTTTGGCTGACTTAAGTTGCTATCTGTCAGTATCCAAGCTATTAAACCTATCCTATTTTTCAATGTAATCCTACTGCCTTAACACCTCAACTTTCTCACACATGAGGAGTGAATTCTGGCAAATAGCTTGAGGAAAAGTGGTAAGAACAATCCTCACAAAATAAAATCCCCTGTGGAAAAAAAAAGAAAAATAGATCTTCACTTTCCTTTCATTTTTGTAAGAATCGCAATGTAATGGAATGGATTCTTCCAAAAAATAAAAAAAATAGAATATTTAGTCCAGATATTAAATGAGTTTTTTTTCTTCACCTTAAAAAGAAATAAATTAAAAAGAAAACGAAACTAAACAAAAAAAAAAGAACTTTCCTCTCATTTTTGAAATTAATCATATACAATCGGGCTTTGTGAAGTTTCTCTATTACCTCTAAACTTTCACATACATTTTGTTAAATCTACATTTTCGTAATATAGTTAGACGAGAAACCTCCTGACCCCGATTGCCGGAGCTGTATGAGACAGGGAATTGCTCGATCGCTGACATACGGATCTATATTTTGGTAGATCTCAGATTTGCAAGCCACAACACAGATTCGATTGCTACACCTCTCAGTGCTGTATAACGGTAAAAAATATATTCCCATAAGCCTTTGAGAAGACTGGCAGAATTCATTTCATTTTCAATGAATTTTTATCCTTTTTCTTATATAGAGAGTAGGGGTGTGCACACCGATCATTTCGGTTTATAAAGTTTATTGAAAAATTTATTGAACTTAAACTAAAGCACACGATATTTAGCAAATTTTTAATAAAAATTTTTATTCTTTAATTTTTATTCTTTTATTCTTTAATTTGTCAGAATATAAAACCTTTAAGATCACAAATTGTTTCAAAATTAAATATATCACTCAATCAATGTTTTAACTCAAGTCTTGAACTTCATTGATATTCGAAACTTGGAACTTTATCAACATGTCCTATTTTAAAACCCGAGAGCCTTAGAACCAAAGCGAAATAAAAGATCTCGTTCTCCCTTTCTCCATGGTTTTATCCTATCCTAGTTAAACTGAAACCTGAGAGATGATGGAGCATTGAACCTCAGAGGATCTGACGAATACCTTAACTCCATAGCTGCACCTCCCAGCGCAAAATAACGGTAAAAAAATATATTTCCATAAGTTCCCGAGACGACTGTCAGACTTCCCTTGTTATCAATGAATTTTTAATCTCTTTTATACAGAAAGTAGGGGCGTGCACATGGATCATTTTGGATTCTAAAGGTCGAAACCCTATTGAACCGGAACTAACCAACCCAAATACCATTCAATATAATTCCATTTAAATTAGAACTTAAAGTATGTAATATTTTAAGCCTTTATTATTTTCTTTTTATTCTATAATTAGATTACTCGGACATAAAACTTCTAAGATATTAAATTAGTCTTAAACTGAAGATCTTACTTAAATATTTCAATGTTTAACCTCAAGTCTTGAAGTCCAGAGACACTCGAAATTCCAGAATTAGAACTTTACCAACATGCTTAATTATAATCCCGACAGCCTTTTTCCTTTCAAATGATACTCAAAATTCCACAATTAAAACTTTATCACATGCTTAATTTTATCCACTACAACCTTGATTTTTTCTCTTTTCTTCATGGTTCTCTCTTTACCTAGTTAAACTGAAACCTGGAAGATGAATGAGCAGCGAACCTCAGAGGATCTGGCAGATCCCATAGCTTCATCACTCAGCAGAAAATAACGGTAAAATAATATATTTCCATAAGTCCCCGAGAAGACCGGCAGATGTCCTTCAGTATCAATGAATTTCTAAACCTTTTATATAAAGAGAGCAGGAGCCTGCACACGGACCATTTTGGATTGTAAGATTGAAATCCTTACGAACTGAAACTAACGTACATGTGAATGGAATAAAATGCTAACAAAAGGAAAAATTCAAGAATACAACGTCAGTTTTTTAAGTTTAACGATTTTCTTTTTCTTTCTTTTTTCTTGATTTCGACATTTTGGATATTAAAACTTTAATACTATAACCAAAAAGTAAGCGTCAATTGTGTAAAAAAAAATAAGAAACTTTTTTACGTCCGTAAAGTTAAATAAAAATTAAAGAAATAAAAACCTCTAGCAAAATCGAGTCCCTATAAATAAATTGTCTAAATTAATAGATGTTTATTGACATTGTCCTGAAATTGATCTTTAATCTAATAGGACTTTGGTTTAAAATCTGAATTTTCCACCTTACTCGGAATCTTCTCTCAACATAAATTAATAATCTTTTTTTCACTGATTCAGTCTGAGAGAACTGGAACGCCTACTGAACCGACAAGCCTCACCGCAGAGAAACGAGGATGTCTCAAGAAACTGGACAACTACGCCACGTCGATAACTCGTCGATAATTCGTTGCACAATACAAACGAGCAGCATATCTGCTCTAGAGTATTGAAGTTTAGAGAAAAATGAAAAGATTAAGAGTAAACACTAATCTCTTTTCAATGTCCTAGACAAGAGCGCAGAACCGTCAATGTTCTACGTGAGTCTAGCTCTTAAATACAATGTGTTTTCCGTCAAATTGAAACTAAATGATTCTCTAATAAGCTATTCACATTTGACATTTCTTAATTTTGGAGTCTGTCTTGTAGATCCAAACCACTGAGAGAAAAGAACATGCAGGAAGGAACCATCAATTTTCCTCGCCAGTATGTATCTTAAATATATAATTTTCTATTTTTACGTCGGCTAAATAGCATCAAGACGACATAGTTTAACTAATGTAATGCCATACAACGTGGAACCTTCAATGTTCCTCGTTAGTACAGTCGTTGTACTCTCTATATATTGTATAACGACTTTATATCAATGTTTCATGAAAACTGTAAATTGTCTACACAAACTGATTTCTACACAAATTGCCCAATTTACGTGAAAACAGTTTTGATATTAAAACTTTCTATTCAACATGTACACCTTCTTATCGTTAATGACTTATTATATGCTCCTAATGTTCTACTACTTCACTGGTGTACTCTACAATTCATATGTTTTGTAAGATCCAAGTATCCTTGATTGAAAATTTTCTTTCTACGCTTCTAGTCCATACACAAACCTCTCAAAAATGTAAACGAACTCGTCTTTAGTTTTGAATACATGTAAATTATTTTGTATTTATCTCATAAATCTCTCATGAAAAAATGTAATTAAACTTGTAGCTAAGTATAATTAACGAAAATATGTTAAATATGCTGTACATTTTAATAATGAGACAATAAATATTTAGATTTCAAGATTAACTAAGAACAATAATCCAACCAATGAGAGATTAATATATGAAGATTAACTAAGAACAATAATCAAACCAATGAGAGATAAATATATGAAGGTTAACTAAGAACAAAAATCCAACTTATGAAGGATTGAAATATGAAGATTAACTAAGAACAATAATCCAATCAATGAGAGATTAATATACAAAGATTAACTAAGAACAAAATCCAACCAATGAGAGATTAATATATGAAGATTAACTAAGAACAAAAATCCAACTAATGATAGATTGATATGAAGATTTACTAAGGACAAAATCCAACTAATCATAGATTGGAATAAGAGAAATAGTTTTTAACTCTATTAGTTCAGGTCTGATTTAACTTATTTATCAGGATTCCTCCAGTTCTGATTGGTCTATAGGTGCAGTTTTTCATGTTCCCCTCATTAAGGTGATTGTTTGATTGATTGATGTTAGAAGATATATTTTAGCATACAAAGTAATAGGCCTACAAGGCGGTGTCAGGGCCCTGTTACTTTTTAAAGGGTTCCTGAGACCAATTTTGCCTACAAAACTTTTAGAGCGCAGCGAGAGATGTTTTGTGGGCAAGATTGGGTGATTTCATCGAGAACGATTTCTGGATCCAGGGGGGGGGGGTCCGGAAATCTTTTTTATTTTTATTTGTCAACACTTTTGGTTCTTAAATTTTGTTTTAATTGTTGCGGATTTTTACAGATTTTTTATGGGTTCCTAAAGATTTGTAAATTCTTTTCTGGAATCATGTGAGATGCCCTAAAAACGTTGACCAAAAACCAGTTTAAAGATCGTTTAAACTAGTGATAAAAGTATACTTAAGAAATGTTTCAGAAAGAGCAGGGGTGGAAGTTACCTCTGAATGAACTTGAACTAGGAACTAAGGAGTTGGATTGTCTCAGTAATGATAAAGTTTACTGGCCTGAGGATAACAAGTGTTATGATCTTCTTTCCTCTGGTCCTTGTTCCAGGTATAGGGTGTCCCTGGTCCTTGTTCAAGGTATACAGGGTGTCCCTGGTCATTGTTCCAGGTATACAGGGTGTCCCTGGTCCTTGTTCCAGGTATAAAGGGTGTCCCTGGTCCTTGTTCCAGGTATACAGGGTGTCCCTGGTCATTGTTCCAGGTATACAGGGTGTTCCTGGTCATTGTTCCAGTTATACAGGGTGACCTTGGTCCTTGGTCCAGGTATACAGGGTGTCCCTGGTCCTTGGTCCAGGTATACAGGGTGTCCTTGGTCCTTGGTCCAGGTATACAGGGTATCCCTGGTCCCTGGTTCATTTACAAGGTTTAACTAGTCCAAGGAAAGGTGCAGGGTGTTCCTGGTCCCTGGTCCTGGTCCCTGGTCCAGGTACAGGGTGTCCCTGGACCCTGGTTCTAGTACAGGGCCTGTCCTTATTTATTGCAGGTTTAGGGGGTTTCTGGTCCAGGTATGCAGGATGTCCCTGGTCCAGGTACAGCCACAGGGTGTCCCTGGTCCCTGAACACTGAACAGGTTACAGGGTGTCCCTGGTCCCTGAACACTGAACAGGTTACATGGTGTCCCTGGTCCCTGAACACTGAACAGGTTACAGGGTGTCCCTGGTCCCTGAACACGGAACAGATTACAGGGTGTCCCTGGTCCCTGAACACTGAACAGGTTACTGGGTGTCCCTGGTCCCTGAACACGGAACAGGTTACAGGGTGTCCCACTAAAAATGGATCGTTGTTCAGTTAATTAGGTTCAGTTAATTAGATGCAGTTAATTAGGTGCAGTTAATTAGGTGCAGTTAATTAGGTGCAGTTAATTAGCTGCAGTTAATTAGGTGCAGTTAATTAGGTGCAGTTAATAAATGACAAAATCTAAAAAGGTTTTCATCTCTCCAGTAAATACTCTTCTTTATATTGAAACCTGACAGAGAAATTAGAGACAAACTTATTGGAACTGCTGACGTAATAATATGTTACCCTCCATACATATAGTGGCATGTTCAATGCACAACAGTACATTTAGGAGCTTTCTTCTGAAATGGAACTTCACTTAAAATTAAAACAACAGTTTTTCTAATAAATTGAAATCTTGGTAAATTTTCTATGTGCAGAAGTGGAAGGCCACATTAAGGAAACCCCAAGACAAGGAGTTTTTGACGCTAGTTTCAAGTATAATAACTTAAGATTATCTTCATGAAAATAAAGGGATGCATCTGTTCGCGTGAATTGTCATCATCAACTAATGTGCCTAGATAAATAGACAAATGGAGTATAGCTTCTTTTTTAAATCTATTTTTATAACCTTTGTTTAGTGGAGAATGGCTTGTTCTAGATGTAAGTGGAATGGAAAATAGGTAAGTCTAATGAAGAGAGAAAACATAAAAAGAAAAATATCTTAAAAAGACTGTAAAGCGTCTCATAATATATATTGCAAAGATTTGCACATTTCACAGAATATCACTTTTTTTCTGATCACAGATCAAGAAGTTTTAAAGTGATACTTTCAAAAAAGGCAACCAAAATCTCAAGGAATGACTGTTGGTCCCTGAACACTGAACAGGTTACAGGNNNATATATAGAATATATAGAATATATATAGAATATATAGAATATATATGGAATATGTATAGAATATATATAGAATATATATATATAATATATATATATAGAAAATATAGAATATATATATGTACAGTGAAACCCTTAATAACGAATACATCGGAAGAATTTATCAAATGTCGTCTTGACAATGTTTCAATGAGTTTTATACTATATTACGTAAATTTCAGTATTTGCGAAAATAAATAAATAGCCATAAATATGCGGGAACAGTTTTAAGGAGTTCTATATAATCATTTAATTAAAAAACTAAATATCTGCAACATTCCATTATCAGAAAGTGAAGAAGACGACATTTGATGAATTCTTTCGATGTATTCATTATTACGGGTTTCATTGTAGAATATATAGAATATATAGAATATAACTTGAACTTTAAAAAAAAAAAGTTTTTTATTTGTCCCTGCAGATGCCGTTTAAAAAATCTAGAGAAATAAACTTTTTTTATTTAAAGGTTGAAGTTAGGGATGGAGATTGTCAGTGCAAAGTTGCATTAGCGGCTGCACAGGTCTAGAGATAGGCAACTTCGTTTTTTTTTCCTTTTCAAAGATTTAAAAAAGCAAAATAGTTTTTCGTTTTTAAAGATTTAAAATAAATATAGTTTTTTTGTTTTTAAAGATTTAAAAGCAATAAATTTTTTCGTTTTTTAAGATTTAAACGCAATATAGTTTTTCGTTTTTAAAGATGGAAATAAATTGATTTGAAAAATGCCGAAACTTTAATGTTTCAATTTCAAAGATATTAAAACAATAGTTTTTATCATGTCTATACATACTATAAATTATAAAGTTTGTTTACAAAAACATCAAACCATTCTTTTTTCATTTTTAAAGTTATTAAAACAATTCTTTTTTGTTTTTAAAGAATATCAAACCATTCGATTTTCGTGTTTAAAGATATTAAAACTATAATGTTGTGTTTTTTGAATGTGAATGAAAACATGTCAATACTACAATGACAACCAGAAAACTGAAAACTCTGGAATGGGAAGACGACTTTATGGCAAAACTTTATTGCATTTGATGTTAAGTAATATGGGTTTAATTACACTGTTGTGTCCCATACTCATTGGACTATTTAAAGTTATAACTTGAGTCTAAAAGTCGTCTTCGTATTTCAGAAATTACTAAATAGATTAATATGTTTTGCTTTCAAATATTTAGAAAAATATTTTTCGTGATATTGTAGTGATAACCAGAAAACTCTGGAAAAGGAAGCCGACCTTTAAACTCAATTTATGACTTTAAATAGTCCAATGAACATGAGGCGCAGCAATTTAATAACTTACAAGTAAAGCTATTTGCTTTGTAAAAACATCAAATATACTTCAGTATTGCTGCAATTTCTTCTTCCTATGCTACATTTTTTGGTTATCACTGTAGGATATCGTTTTTTATAAAAGATTTAAACAATATATTATTTCATGTTTAAAGATAAATTATAAAACAGTCAATTATTTGTTAAACTGACCGCTATTTCCAAAATAACCTTGAATATTAAAAACGATGCTTATCCGGTATCCCTAATCCCAGGATGGGATATGTGAGCCAGGGGAGCAGTTGCTCTTGGACCCGTTCGGATTTGGAGTTTGTGGTTGCATTACGTCTCCTCCACATGCCACATGGCCTAACGATGGAAAATGCTATCCTCTGTACACACGGGTAACGGAAAATGTTTAAAATGTCAAATGATCCTCCATTTATAAAGTATAGTGTGACCGAGTCGTAACAGTACCTATAAAACCACTATAACAAATAAAGGGGTTGACCGGCAATGTATGTTACTTGAACTGAGAATGTAGTATTGTGGAGAAATTTTTAGGACTTATTTGAGACATATAAAACATTTTAATGATTATAATTGCTGAGTTTGAACATTTTGAGAATTGATATTTTTAGGGACCATGTGATGAAGGATACCAGCTTACCATGAGTCCTAGTAGACTAGGTTAAAATATATTAAATTATGATTCATAAAACTAATTTCATACAATTCCACTATTTGTTGGTGTTCTCACCTCATTTTCAATAATTCTATTTGTTAAGAGCCCTCATGCAGTCCTTCATTATGTGGGGACGAAAGATCAGTGTTATATGAGGTAAGATTTTAAATAAAAAAATTACTTTTTATGTTAACAACAAATTTTAAACTGTTTTCCTTTCATTTAAAGAAACTGTACTTTCGAGTGCCCCCCCCCCCCTGATTGACAATACTACTATTTAAAATTAATCTAACTATTAAATTGTTTGACATATATATCATATTCTTGTTTAAAACGTGTTTAATTCTTACAATCTTCTATCGTTCTGGCAGACATCCTTACGTCAATTTATAGGCGTGCACAAATGAAAAGAATTAACTTTAATTTGGTAACACCATAGATATCGCATTCATTTGCGATTTAAAGCTTTCAAGCAAAAATCGATAAGAATTTTGCCAATTACTTCTTAAAAACTAAAGCTAACTACAAGTGCTTAATAGTGCAAAAATGTAAATGTAAAGTGCTCCAGAAAAGCATAAGTGAGTTGAAGTATTGAAATCAAAGGTTGAATCTATAATGTAGATCATATTAAGCTTCTAATGGATGCTATAATGTAGATCATATTAGGCTTCTAATGGATGCTATAATGTAGATCATATTAGGCTTCTAATGGATGCTATAATGTAGATCATATTAGGCTTCTAATGGATGCTATAATGTAGATCATATTAGGCTTCTAATGGATGCTATAATGTAGATCATATTAGGCTTCTAATGGATGCTATAATGTAGATCATATTAAGCTTCTAATGGATGCTATAATGTAGATCATAGGTTGCCCGTCCATTTTTTGACAAAGCCAATGAAAGTCGTCTTACATCTTACTTACAGGATGGAGAATGTTATTTCTTGGGAACCAAGGGACCCTGCGCTGAAGTTGAAATATTATCTATACACGAGGAAACCTTCCAACCATACTGCAAAATTGTTTTATCACAGGTTAGTTCAGATCATAGATTAGTAGAAATAGAGACGGAACACTAGATGTCGCTTTTTCAACATTTAGAGCCGTTGTACGTTCACATTAACCCTGAGGCAGAACTTACGCGCATGTGCTTTCTCAGTCTTGTAATTTAAATGTGAAAACCAATCAAAACAAAGCATATCAAAAACAAAACATATTAAATCTAAACATAGCAAAACGAAATTTATTAGAATAGTTCTTCTCTTATTTAATTCCCGTAACAATCTGTAATTATGTTATCAAGTCCGAGGAGTTTCTCAGGAATTTCCGGAGAAGTGTTCGGAGAAATTCTGAGGAATTTCTTGGGGAAAAATTCCGAAGAATTTCTCAAGAATCCGAATTTCTCAAAACTGAGTCTCAAAACTGTGATCACCTAAAAATCTTGGGGACCAACTCTGGGGAATTTCTCGCAAGAATTTCCGAGGAATCAGTTACAGGAAATGATTCTCGAGAAATTCCTTAGAAATTCTTCAAAGAAAGTCACTACGTTCAGAGAATCTGGAAAATTCCTTACTTTTCATACCTGGGATTTGCCTAAAGTAAATTTTTGTTCTTGTGTTATAGCTATGCTCTTATTCTTGTTCTTTGGTATAGTTCTGATCTTGTTCTTGTTCTTGGGTATGTTCTAGCTTGTTCTTGAATCGTGAACAGTTCTGCTCTTGTTATTGTTCTTGTGTATAGTTCTGTTTTTGTTCTTGTGTTCAGTTTTGTTCTTATTCTTGTTCTTGTGTATAGTTCTGCTCTTGTTTTTATTCTTGCGCATAGTTTTTGTTTTTGTTCTTATGTTCATGTTCTTGAATATGTCTCTGTTCTTTTTCTTGTTCTTGTTCTGGTTCTTGTATATATTTAGGTTCTTGTTCTTGAATATAGTAATGTTCTTGTTGTGTGTAGTTCTGCTCTTGAACTTGTTCTCGTGTACAGTTCTGTTATTGTTCTTGTTTCTGGGTATATTTCTGTTCTTGCTTGTTAATTCTTGTTTTTTGTACAGGTTTATTCTTGTTCTTGCGTATGATCTCTTCTTGTTCTTGTGTTTGTAAAATCTAACTTTGTTCTTATTCTTTTATTCTTATAATATCTAGTCCTATTTTTTTTCTTGTACATATATGGATAATAAAATTAGTTCTTCTCTTAAATTTCATCTTTTTTAATTATTTAAAACTTTTTAAAAAATGGTTGATTTATAAACGGTTTTTACTATTCTAGGTGAAAAGAGTGTTTGATATGCTTCCCGGGGGGTTTATCAAGAACGGTCCCATATCTATAAATTTAAAGGTATTCATTTTTTTAAATAAAGTGAATAAGATTGGACAGAAAAGCAGAATATTGGAACAAATTATTCTATAGCTATGGATTCATTAATAAAGTCACTTTCAAATTGTAATTCGTAAAAAATATGAAAATAAAAAAACCAAATTTGTAAAAAAGATAATTATTTTTTAAAACATGAAAATCCATCTCATTCTAAAGATTTCTTTTTTAGGCAAGAAATTGCCAATTGAATACCGATGGTAAATGCAAAGATGCATTTGTACCAGCACAGCAAATATCTAGAAAAAGGTGAGATATTTTATAAAAATCTTATCTTAAAATTTATAAAATTTTCTGATTTTGACGTTGTCTCGGTCAATATAAAATTGAGTCTATAAATGTAAATTCATGTGACTTTCTATTTATAGAGTGACATGTCAGATTCACAACAGTACAGTTATAAAGTCCATTTATAGAGTGACATGTTAGATTCACAACAGTACAGTTATAAAGTCTATTTTTAGAATGACATGTCAGATTCACAACACAGTTATAAAGTCCATTTATATAGTGACATGTCAGATTCATAACAGTACAGTTATAAAGTCTATATATAGAATGACATGTCAGATTCACAACAGTACAGTTATAAAGTCTATATATAGAATGACATGTCAGATTCACAACAGTACAGTTATAAAGTCTATTTATAGAGTGGCATGTCAGATTCACAACAGTACAGTTATAAAGTCCATTTATAGAGTGACATGACAGATTCATAACAGTACAGTTATAAAGTCAATTTATAGAATGACATGTCAGATTCATAACAGTACAGTTATAAAGTCCATTTATAAAGTGACAGTTATAAAGTCTATTTATATCACAAAATATATCAGATTAAAGTTTTAGTTGGGTACCGTTGTAAATCAGGCATGCTTCCCTTTTATAAATGCAGGGTTACTTTAAATAATCCTTTAAAAAACCTGATATAATTTTGAAGTTGCTACATGTCACTGATACAGTGAAATCTCTCAAAAAGTGTGATAAATTTTTGTAATCTATCTGTATAACTGCTATATACTTATATAATAGCTTATAATTCTGTGGGCATATTTCTTGAGGACATTAAAAGTTTCCGGAAAAAGCCTAGAAACAATCATTGACAAACTTTTCTTAATTCCCAACAAAAATAGAGTCCTGGTTTTAGTTAAAGAGAATAGAATATATATTAGAGTGGAATTTAAACAATCCCTCGGTATGAATTTTGTCCCTTCAGTCTGAAAGGGAGTTCAAAGTGTACAAATCATTTAAATGTTCACAAATTATATGCAGTAGAGTACATTAATACAGTATGTTCCCTAGACTATCCATTTCAATTTCGAATTTTTTAAAGCTGTTAAATAAACTTTATAATGAATTAGGTGAATAAAAAACATCATTTGACTTATAGTTATAACGGAAAATCATCGTTTGTAAAGTGAAAGGCATTGAGTCTATGTGATCATTTGTCAATTATGAAACCAGCCTATTTCATAATTTGGTTTTCTTTTAATTTTAATTTTAGATTTTCTATAAAATGATGTTCCAGGGCCCAAAAGGTTATATAGCGCAAATATGTGAAGTACACCTACAGTATAAAAACAGTACAACAAAATGGCCGTTTTACACTTTTTTCTAGTAATTCCACTCTAGTATATATTCTATTCTGTTTGGTTTTTGTACATGGTTCTTGGTTGATGATACTTTAAACACTTAAAATGTAAGAAAAGAGAATTTTTGCAGAGTCATCTCTGACGTCTCATCTTTGTGGGCGACTCTGTATACTAGGGGCTAATTCTTTCCAAATTATTAATTAAATTATTAATTTAAAAATAATTAATTATTTTAATTTGAGATTTAAAGTTTCAAAAATCTTTCACAACGAACGAACCGAAGACCAAAATTATTCCACAATTAGATAAAAATGTATTAATTACATGTCTATTTTTATGTTTTAGTCCGAACAGACCAGCTATACGCCAACGAGCTTCAAAAAGTTATATTGGTTGGCTACAGAGCTTCAGAACAACATAATGTATATTTTTAATTGAATAAATTTTAAAATAAAATTCCGTGCGGAGTAAATTTAAACTTGAAGCTTGATCTCAATATCCGATGTGGGGCCTTTGAGAATAATTGCTTGTATCCTCAAATAAAACTATCCTTGCAGGGTATGACCACAACTGGATATCTGAGAGAAATTGAATTGATCCATATGGTCTGCAGAATACGGAAATCAAGGCTTGATATAGAGTTTCAAAATTTAAAATTTCTGATATCTGATTCTATCCTTGGAGTCATATTTTTGTATAAATATATCCATACATTGCAAATGAAGTGCACAGGGTTGATTATTACTTGTTTATGAAGACGTATGTTAAATCATTGTTTAGAATATCCAGTACTTTAGTTCGCTCCACTCTTATTTAATATTAAATATTTAACCTTACAGGGTTTTACAAACGCATGCTGAAGTTTGAAGTAAACATAAACAAGGTGTTCCTGCCACGTAGAACTATGCAGTGCATTGAGAGGAGAGACACTTGGCGGTCAACTAATAATCGGCGTTTTAAGTGCATTGTATATAAAAAGAAATAAAAAGTATTATGAAATATCAACTATTTATATATGAATGCGTCGAAAAATCATTTATGATTATTAGTTGTAATATCTGGATGATTTGTTTGGAATTAAATTGATTTTTTAAGATCCGAGTCAAATATTGCCAATTTCTGAATTTGTAAGGACATGTTTCGCGAACACTCCCTTTAAAGACGATTCAATGGAGATTTAACAATGGTTTTCCCCAAAAAGAAAAAAATTTTAAAAAACGTTAAAATCATAAATCTTTTAAACTTTTTAGTTAGAGGTTCAGCAGCCACTCAGGAAATTCGACTTTTAAATCTCATCTCTGAAAAAAGTCATGAACTTGGATCAAAACAAAAAAATATGAGTTTTGGTATTGTTAATCAGGACTGGCATTTCTTGACATGTTTTACAAGTATAGTTCTAAGTTCAAGTTGGGCCAAAACTTAGATTAAGTCACTTCTAACTTGGCCAAAACTTAGATTAAGTCACTTCTAACTTGTCCAAAACTTAGATTAAGTCACTTCCAACTTGGCCAAAACTTAGATTATGTCACTCTAACTTGTCTAAAGCTTAGATTAAGTCACTTCTAACTTCTCCAAAACTTAGATAAACTCACTTCTAACTTGGCCAAAACTTAGATTAAGTCACTTCTAACTTGTCCAAAACTTAGATTAAGTCACTTCTAACTTGGCCAAAACTTAGATTATGTCACTTCTAACTTGTCCAAAACTTAGATTAAGTCACTTCTAACTTGTCCAAAACTTAGATTAAGTCACTTCTAACTAGGCCAAAACTTAAGAAACTTGACTTCGTTGTGACTATTTAGTCAAGGCTCGTTATAGAACTTTTATTTAAAAGTCAAAATATTCTTGAAATAATTGTTTCGAAATTAAAATTTAAAACAAACAGATATTTATTAGTTGTTAACAATTTATAAAGTATTCATGAACAATTTCAATTACAATATTAGCTGTACAATACAATGTACAGAGCTCCAGGTGCAAATGAAAATCAACAGAACAATGTGAATTTATTCCTTGCAATTTTAGACATTTTATTCATGAAAAATAAACAGCATAGCATTTTAGAAACATGGTGAGAGGTTGGAAATCCAGTTTATCCTTCTCTGTAGATACAGTCATCTCCTCCCACCTACAGTATAGTAAAGTACAGTACAGTACAGTACAGTACAGTACAGTACAGTACAGTGCAGTACAGTACAGTACAGTACAGTACAGTACAGTACAGTACAGTACAATACTGTACAGTACAGTACAGTATAGTACAATACTGTACAGTAAAGTACAGTACAGTATAGTACAATACTGTACAGTACAGTACAGTACAGTACAGTACAGTACAGTACAGTACAGTACAGTACAGTACAGTACAGTACAGTACCGTACAGTACTTTACAGTACAGTACAGTACAGTACAAAACAGTACCGTACAGTACTTTACAGTGCATTACAGTGCAGTGCAGCTCATGTACAGTACAGTAAAGTATAGTTTAGTAAAGTACGGACTACGGTACAGTTCAATAAAGTTTGCGATAAATTTGTTTTTGTTGATTTGTAAAACCTTTAATTTTAATCTATTTTAGATGCTATTTAGGTCGTTAGATGCTTTTGAATTAAACAAAACTTAGTATTTTCAGCTAAAATTAGTCATTCTTATCTTTAATGAAATTTATGTGTTTTTACATATTTCATGGGTGTATTAAATTTAGATCTTTTAAAATTTAAATGTTTTGAATTTCTGTGTTTTGAAGTTGTGGGTCTGGTGTTATGGTTTAAAACCTTTACCTAATTAAAAGATCTCGCATACTTTCTACTCTAGTTGCAGCAATACTAGCAATCTTACGGAACCGAGTTTTCTGAAATAAAAAAAGATTGCTCCCTTAATTCTAATTTTTACCCTCAAGCTTTTAATTTAGAGTCTAATTTAAACTTTCTAATTCTTTTAATTTCTGGCTGACTAGTAATTCAAAGATTTCTTATCTTAAAATTTTTCATTTACCAAAATCTTGGAAGATGATTTATGAATAGGAAGTATTAAACTGGGTATTGCTTTACCTCTTCATTATTTACACTAGACAATCTCTTACCTCTGCTTCTACTGCCATCTCTGCAGTGGTTTGATTACTAGACAATCTCTTACCTCTGCTTCTACTGCCATCTCTGCAGTGGTTTGATTACTAGACAATCTCTTACCTCTGTTTCTACTGCCATCTCTGTAGTGGTTTGATTACTGAGCAATATCTTACCTCTACTTCTGCTGCCATCTCTGCAGCATGGTTTGATTACTAGACAATCTCTTACCTCTGCTTCTACTGCCATCTCTGCAGTATGGTTTGATTACTAGACAATCTCTTACCTCTGCTTCAACTGCCATCTCTGCAGTGGTTTGATTACTGAACAATCTCTTACCTCTGCTTCTACTGCCATCTCTGCATTAGTTTGATTACTGAACAATCTCTTACCTCTACTTCTACTACCATCTCTACAGTATTATGATTACTGGACAATCTCTTACCTCTGCTTCTACTGCCATCTCTGCAGTAGTTTAATTACTGGAAAACCTCTCAACTGTGCTTCTACTGCCATCTCTGCAATAGTTTGATTAATAGACAATCTGTTACCTCTGCTTCTACTACCATCTCTGCAGTGGTTTGATTACTGAGCAATGTCTTACCTCTGCTTCTACTACCATCTCTGCAGTGGTTTGATTACTAGACAATCTCTTACCTCTGCTTCTACTGCCATCTCTGTAGTGGCTTGATAACTGGACAATCTCTTACCTCTGCTTTAAACTACCATCTCTGCAGTGGTTTGAATACTAGACAATCTCTTACCTCTGCTTCTACTACCATCCCCTGCAGTGGTTTATTTACTAGACAATCTCTTACCTCTGCTTCTACTGCCATCTCTGCAGTAGTATGATTACTGGACAATCTCTTACCTCTGCTTCTACTGAAATCTCTGCAGTGTAGTATGATTACTGGACAATCTCTTACCTCTGCTTCTACTGCCATCTCTGCAGTGGTTTGATTGCTGGACAATCTTTTTGCCGCTTCTTCTATCCTTCCCAGCAGCTTATTCGCTTTTCTAACTTCCTAAAATTAAAAATTAATATTTTTAGCTTGATATGTTGAAAAAAAAATAAACATTTAATTAACTCTTCATTGACTATTAAGAATGTTAAAAAACTTTAATTTTCTTTACTTAAATTCATAAAATAAAACCAATCTTCTCAAATTCGTTAAATTTTTTAAACAGCTGTGATTTTAAAAACTGTTCAACAGGAAGACGACATTTATAAAATAGAGTGAAATGGGCCTGTTTACACATGGTATATTTAATGTGTTTCATGGTCATTGGACTATTAAAATCAGTTACAGTTTGCCTCCTAATTCACAGTTTAAAGAATCCAACTGTATGCATTGTACTTCAAACCTTGTCTTTGTACTTTAGATTTGATGTGACACATTTTACTTTCACCTTGACTTTACGCATTGTTCTTAAAACCTTTGCAAACTTGACGCATTTCACTTTTAACCTTAGCAAACTTGACGCATTTCATCTCTAGTTCCCGCGCATGCTCAAAACTGGTTGGTTTTTCCAGAGGATTATTTGTCGTCTTCTCTGCATCATTTATCCAGGGGATCAACAGTTTTTCCAAACCTAAAAAATACTCGAGCTGCAAATTTTAAAAATATACTTTTGGAATTAATATTTTTAAGATTTTAGATTGGTCTAATTTTTTTTAATAAATTGTTTGCATGTTGATCTTTATAAAAAGCTAAAACTACAGATTACAGGACGAAAAATACCTAAAAATTTAATGTTCTAATATAATCTAATATTTATGTAACATATAATGTTCTAGATAAATAGTCAAAGTTTTAAATATCAAAGATTTACACCATCGAAATTAAAGAATTTGAGCCACGGCTTAACTTTGAGACACGGCTCAAATATGATTGATTGCACTTTAAATTGTTTTTAATGTTTAAAGATTTAAGCCGGCGCTCAATTGAACCCAGTTTTGGGCGGATTTGAGACGCGGCTCAAATTCATTAAATTTGGACTCAAGTTGTAAAGATAATGTACGATTTAATAACTAAAGTTTGATCACTCAATGTTGTCATGTTCTTACCACTTTTAAACTCATTTTCAATCTTCATATCGTTAGCAAACTTCAGAGGGTCTAAGGTGTTAATATTGGCCTAAAAATAGGAAAAAACTGAAATTTAAAAAACATTCACGGGCAGACGTAGTACGTGGTCCTAGTTTGTACTGTATCGCCCGGACATTGCCTAAATAAAGCAGACACTCAATAGGACTAGAGCCAGTGCAACAAGGTTGACGTGTTCAGACTTCAGGTTGAAATTTTATTTATTTAAGGGCCAGAGGTGCGTTCATTTGCAGTGAAACCCATATACAACTGTGAAATATGGTAGTAGGCGATTATATCAATATGAGATTGCAAGGTTATTTATCTTACTTCTTTGAAAAAAATCTTGAATTTCAAACTTTTATTTCAAACTTTGCTCTGACATAATTCCTAGTTAAAAATAGCTAATATCTCAGATATTGGATTGCAAATATAGCGATTAGAAAACCATAGTTCGTGGCTAAGACTAAATTCCTTTGTAACCGACCTTATCAAATTCACTTCTATCTTTTAGCTTGTTATAAAAGAATAATTACTATTAATTAATTACGTTTAAATGAATACAATGAAGACGACTTTTCCAGCAAAGTTTTGTTTTCTAACAAGCTTTTTTCAAATTACAAGTTTACAAGTAAACAAACCAAGGCTGTTATCTGGCAGTTTCTCTTCGGATCCATATGTATTAGGTATGTTAATCCATGCTGTTTAAAAGCTTGGTATAAATTATAAAAAAAACTTAATGTCGTCTTCATTGTATTGATATATATATAGCTGTAGATTACCTGATAATCAATAAGTCCTGCTCTACATTTTGCCAACAGCTCCTGTCCCTCTCCAGATTTAGTAATCGGATCTTCTTCACAATCCTGGGGCGCAAATTTATAGATGCCAAAATTTATGAATGCCATGGTTTAAGCCAAAATTTATGAATGCAAGGATTAAACCAAATTTTATGAATGCCATGGATTAAACCAAATTTTATGAATGCCATGGATTAAACCAAATTTAATAATTGCCATGGTTTAAACCAAAATTTTTAAATGCATGGATTAATCCAAATTTAATAAATGCCATAACTTAAACCAAAATTTATGAATGCAATGGTTTAACCCAAACTTTATGAATGCCATGATTTAAGCCAAATAAGATAAGAAATGAGACAGAATTCTAAACATAATTTAAATGGAGATTTCTTGTTTAACCACATTATTTTTTTGCAAATGCTTCGTTCAAGGTAGCATGCCTTGAACAAAGCGTTCTGGGCATGCTGCCTTAAACTTTGGCTTTTTAGGGCTAATATTGCTTATGATCTCTTTAATTTAATTTTTTTATTTTATTTTATTTAGTACATATATTTAAAAATAGAATGTACTGTGTACTTAAAATGCATTTAAACTAATTAAAGTTTTTATGGTGATATGTCAACAACATATTTTCTAATTTAAGTCATAGCTGAGAATCAGAAATACTTTATAAAAAGGGATAAAAGGCTTAAAAAGATAAGAAGCAGCCATGCCATGCTTTGAATATGTCGTCCATGCGATATTCAAATTTGTATTTTCATGGAAGAAAACTAGCTTTATTGCAGTGTAAAAGGAGTGTAGAGGGAGGGGGGGGGTATTGACCTAAATTTGAGTGGTAAAAAATGCAACAGATAAAAGTAAAATTTGTAGCGGTCTAAGCCAAATTTTATTCAAATTCAGCTCCTTATAATTTACAACAATCATTTTAGGTATTCAAACTATTTTTATTTAAAGTAATTTCATACGTCAATCTAACTATAAGTTTATCAAACAATGAAAAAAAACATTTTGTCCTGACATTTCAAAAATGTGGTCTGCCTTTTTGTGATTTCAAAATTACTAGATTATAGATTTTTAATCAAATTTGTATTTATTCCGGAGAAACCAAATTCAGAACAAACTCTGCATTAGCTCTGAAAGACAGACCACAATTTAGAAATGCCAAGGCTACGGATATTTTATGATTAAACATATTTTTAAAAATAAGTTTTAAATGAAAACAGCAAATTATTTCTGCATGTACAGAGAGATCCCGCGGCCACAGGAGCCACAGCTTGACCCCACAAGAAATTACCTGGAAGAGTTTAAGGAGGCCGGCAGCGTCTCTCTTGAGTTCTAGAGATCTAATAACCTTCTCCTCTGCAAGAGTATCTCCTCCGTACAAAATATCAGATATCTCATTCCGACCAACCTTTATTAATGTAACAGTCAGGTCCATTGATTTATGAAATACGAAGACGATTGTTAAATAGTCCAATGAACATGAAACATATAGCAGTGCACGCAGACCCATTTTAACTCAATTGATTAGTTGATATTCAACCTCTTGGTAAAATTTTTGCTTTTTAATTCTTATAAAGTAGACTGAGCTGAAAACTTTAGAATGGTGGATATCGAGATCAGTGCTTGATCTCCTGGTTTTACTAAACCCGGGATTAGGTTAATTCGCATCAGATATATAATTAAGAAAGAAGTTTAAAATTCAACCAATCAGCGTGTCATGTAAAGATGCGCTCTTTAACCTTGAAAACCCAGTTTTTATTTTTTGCGCATTTCTGGTTTTGATGGTGTCATATAAATTGAACTCAAGATTGATTGAACGAACGTAAGTTTTGGATTAATGTTTAAATTAAGACTAATGTTCAAAATGACTATAATTCTCAAATGTCATAATGTCATGTTTTTTAATAAGTTCATATTCATGATAAAATTTATATTTGTTTAAATGCTCTAAAAGCCCACTAAAAGAAAATCAGAAGTGTGTCCAATGAATACTCAGATTAAATAATAGGGATTAAGGAATAAGGATATCTCATTCTGAAGTTTTTAGCTCTGTAGGCGTAATTAATCTTATCACAAATGTGGAAACTAACGTCGTTTTCTGTCTCGAAAAGTGGTTGTTTCTGAAAATTTCTCCATTGTTTTTTTATTAGCAAGAAATGCGCAGGTTACTATTACAGAAAACGGCCACAAATCAAAATAAACAGTTTAATTAAAGAAACAAACACATGGATATCTAATTAATACTTAAAACGATTTTAAGGGTACCAGTGTGAATCTGGTATTGTCATATTTGCATGGAGGGTCACTTGAAATTACGCTTACAGTCCCTTTAAATAATCCAAAGAACATGAAACGAACAGCAATTGTGTACTGCCGCAGGCTAATTTAAATTAATACGTTTACATCCAAGCAATCAGAGCTGGGAACTTTTGAAGGGTGGATATCGGGATTCCCCTCATATTATTTAAAGTGTTCAGCTCAGGTTATTCAAAATTTTGCAATTTTTTTTGCATATTTAAAATGGCATGGTAAAGGGCTTTTTAAAAATGTATATTTTATCATTTTTTGGAATTTTTATTGCAAACAATTTTAAAACATAATTGGATTTTGCAGAAAAAAAATCAATTTTTGCAAGTTTTTTTGCTGATTCTAAAAGTAGAGCACAAAAGCTTTCCAATTTGATTATATCATTTGTCTTATTTGGACATCAAACATGGGATTTAGATCAAACATGGGCCCCCAGCGTATAATTTAATAACAAAAAAATCGGGGATGTAATAATATTCTTTTGTGGATTTTCAAAATTTTTCGAAAACCAAACATTGTTGGGGACAATTTGGACCTTATCGGTTCAGCCGTTTTGACGTTAGTTGGATACAAACGGACTCAGATAGAAAAACAGACACGCAAAGTATTTATATATAAGTATATACAGTTAGACATTGGAATGAAAAATAAAAACATAAAATTTTAAAATGAAACTTTTGAACTGTCAATTTTTGAAAATTTAATTTTTTATTAAGGCAGCCATGAAGGAGACAAAATGAACGGAAAAGTACCCAGCAGTACATTATGTAAATGTTTTTAAGTAACTATCTTAAACCGGAACCCAGGTTAGTTTGGAAACTCATTGTAAAAAAGTGAACCTTCTTGGCGTTTTACTTTTAAACCAAGTAAAGTACATTCCAGTGGTTCTGTAACAGAGTATTCAAAATTTGAGACGAATATATATAGGAGTTTTTATCAGACACCCAAACAGAGATTACTATATTTACTTTATTTTTAAGTTAAATTACTAAATGAAAATGATAAAATCAATTGTATTATAGTTATAGAATCCATGTATCTATATATATCTTTGTTTGTTTGTCCGATCATAACTCGGAAACCCCTTAACTGATTTGCCTCAAGTTTTGATTGAGGAACTCTACAGAACCACAGAAATGTTATTAGTAGAATAGGTTTACTCTTATAAAGACAACTTGGTTTCAAGGCAAAGCTGGGTTCTCAAGCTAAAACATTATACTTAATCCTATTTAGTCTGACGTCTGGTTTACTGACTGGTTGCCTAGGGGGGGGGGGGCTGTCAAATCGATCCCCCCTCTCTTTTTTGGCAAAATGGCAAATTTGCAAAAATCTAAATATTTATTGCGAAATCTAGCTAATAAGCAAAAAATTGCGAGAACAAAAAAAATTGCATCAAATTATATATATCTGAAAAGACCTTGACCCAGCAAATTTAAATATGCATAAACAATTTTAACACTTTTAAAACCTAATTATGTATTCAAGAAAAACTGAAAATGTGCTAATTCCCTTTTAAGGCATCTGCAAAAATCTGTACAGTTTGTGTAATTTGCTTGCTTTTGTTATAGGATTTTCGAAGAGCTATAAAATGTTGAAATCCTAATGACTGTAAGAAGGTCTAAATATAGGTAAAATAAGGTGTTGGTAAAATAAGGCATTTAGGCAGTATGCCTTAGAACTTATGCAGTAGGTGTTAAAGTCCAACTTTTAGCCTTAAGTGAGGGGATTGTGAATTAAATAGAAAAGCCAGAAAATTTGAGCTTATCGCAAAAAAACAAGTTCGGGGGGGGGGGTCAACTTGACCACCCCCCCCCCCCCCTCCAGGCCCTTTAAATAAATATGGTTAAACAAAATTTCCTGTCTATATAGCTCTTCTCTCATAAATATATGTTTGTTCGTTATAGCTGACCCTTTAAATATATGTTTGTTTGTTATAGCTGACCCTTTATATATATGTTTGTTTGTTATAGCTGACCCTTTAAATATATGTTTGTTTGTTAAAGCTGACCCTATATATATATATGTTTGTTCGTTATAGCTGACCCTATATATATATGTTTGTTTGTTATAGCTGACCCTTTATATATATGTTTGTTTGTTATAGCTGACCCTTTTAAGGGAACACTTTGTTATAACTCTGAGGTTGACATAAGCTATAAAATCGTTTTTTTAAAAGTATATTCTAAAATTATAATTATAAAATATATTATAGTATATTATAGTATATTAAAGTATATTATAAAACTTGGTGGGCAACACCGCGGGTACTCTGAAGTTTTATAATTTTTCCTCTGAACGGCCCGAATTCAAATCAAATCATTCATTTACAAAATTCAAACTACCATAAAAATAAAGCTACCTTTATAGCTGCACTGATCCTCTCCATCTTTTCAAAGGTTGTCTCACTCATAGGAGGAGGTGGGGTAAAATCTTCCTGCTTCGGGAACCTTAAAGGATCAGTAGACATTAATTCAAGTGACCCTCCATTTATGGCATGTCATGTCATTCTCTGTTTGAAAATTTATTTTTGTCTTTTAAGGTTTGAATTTATTACAGTGAACTGCACTGTATATTTTACTTCAGGAATATTGTAAATTAGGAAGAAATAAAGGATTTCTCTTCTCGTGGTGGAATCTGTAAAGTTCAATTTTTATTCGATAAATGGATACTTTTTCACTGATATTTCCACGCCCCTTTACATCATTTGGTATTACTGCTATTGATACTTTAACCCTATAAAGCCTAGGGGGAGACGTTTGGCGCCCCCCCCCCTAGAAAAGGTCTCAGAGAAAGGTATAGGGTTGAAATGCAAGTTCATAGCCCAATTTTTCATGGCCAGCTCAAAGAGAAAAAATTAGTTTGAGGGTGGAAAAATGTCTAAAACAGGGTAAAAAAATGAAAAAAATTACTTTTTTGTTTGTTTTAAACAAATATCATCAAAGTGTAACACATGTTTCTACATGCATTTTTCCAGAGCTTTTCAAAAATATAGTTTTTAGATCTGTTGCTTCAGTCACAAAGAAGTTATGGGCGATTTTAGATTTTTTAACAAACCGGACTACCCTACCCTATAAACAGAAAAAAATTATTTTTTAACAAAAAAATCATTTTAATCACTATTCATTAAAAGTCACAAAATTTCACAAAATTGTGATGGTGTCAAAAATAAGGACAAAAAACTACAGGGGGGGCGCCAAACGCGCCCCCCCCGCCTGTTTAGGGTTAATTTAAATTTTCGACCCTTTCTTTTGCTTTTTTTAAACCTTACTTGCATTTAAAAATTGGGCTATGAACATGCATTTCAACCTTATACCTATTCTCTAAGGCCTTTTTCTAGAGGGGGGGGCGTGGGACGCCCCCCCCCAGCCTTTTTAGGGTTTATGTATATTACTAGCTTGGAACCCGGTTTGGTTAGATTTTTTCCTTTAAAGGTCAACCCAGTTAACAACTTAGAATCCTTACACAAAGCTATGAACATTTCCGTAGTTCTCCTGAGTTCCCCAATCAAAATTTGAGGCAAATCGGTCCAAGGGTTCCTCAGTTATGATCGGAAAAACAAACAGACAAGCAGAGATTACAATTTTATATATGTAAATACTTACCATGTCATAACCTTTGGCAACTCTGCATCACTCCCATACCTCTCATTGGTTAGGATAATCTTAACAAAATATACTCCCATACCTCTCATTGGTTAGGATAATCTTAACAAAAGATGTTTCAAAATGAAAGGGGGGGGGGAATTAACCCTATCCTGAATGTGTTATTTTGGTAAAATAAAGATGGGGGTGGGGCAGGTAGTTTCCCCCCCCCCCTCATGATTTTGCCATAAGAGTTGAGACAGTGAAACATGTCCCTAATTCAACTTTTCAAGGCCCTCTCATTAAAAAAAAACCTCTAACCCTACCCATCTTGAATTTGAAAAATAAATGTTTCTTCAAGGAAAATGCAAATATAGACGTCAAAGGGATGAGAAAAGTACCAATGTAAAAACTGTGAAACTGAATTTTTATAAATTGTTGTATTTGTAATTTAGAATTTTTCCCTTTGTTAGTATAATGCCCTGATTTTTGATAAAAAAAAAGTTGTATTATATACCAACTCAAATTTTGCAAATTAAAAATAAAAGGAAATTACCAAAAAGAGTATAATATTTATAAAATATATAAAAATACTTTGGAAATTGCATTATCATTTTTTGTTGAACAATCTGTATCCAAATAAACTCAGGGAAAAAAACCACAAAGAATTGCATGTTCTTTTAAACTCAATTTTGTATAAGTTATAAAAAATGTGTCTATGTACAGGGTTACCCACAAAGGATGAGACTGTAAAGACGACTGAAAACTCTTAAAATATGACGATTACAAGGCTAAATTAAGGGGAGTGTTCGCGAAAAATGAAAAGGGGGTATATTTTTATAAAGTTTATATTTCATAATATTTCTATTTTTATGATCTGCAAAAACATTTATTCCTATTTCGTGGATTTTTTATAATGAAGAAGACATTTTTTATAATGAAGAAGACATTTTTTATAATGAAGAAGACATTTTCATATTTACAGGAATGTTCGAAAATGCAGAACCAGCACCAGCCCTGAAAACAAGTTGTATATTATCAAATATAAACTACATACGAATGCGTCGAAAAATTATTGATGATTTGCAGGTTGTTTCGAATTAAATTCATTTTTTTACGATCCAAGTCATATGTTGCAACTTTCTGAATTTGTATGGACGCAACGTTCTTCGGTAAGATTCGTTTTTAACAATTTTCTCCTTGTAGACGAAACAGGTAGAAGTAAGATTAGTAGCACTGAAGTCTCATCTTTTCTGGGTAATCCTGTCTTGTATATTATTTTATTATTATTTACATTTTTAGCAGGTTTGTACACAAATATCCTGTAAGTTTTAAACCAAATTTGATAGCAATATTATAAATGGTAGTTGCATTTTAGCAAAATAAATCTGAAAATTTTATTTTTCTGTTTAGAAATGTGGAAAAAATCATTCTTGCCTTGGAACATTGATAAAAACCTTTTCTGTCCGTATAAGATCATGAAAGTATAGGATCAAGAAAATATGGGATCATGAAAGTATAGAATCATGAAAGTATAGGATCATGAAAGGATAGGATCATGAAAGTATAGGATCATGAAAGTAAAGAATCATGAAAGTATAGGATCATAAAAGTATAGAATCATAAAAGGATAGGATCATGAAAGTATAGGATCCTGAAAATATAGGATCATTAAAGTATAGGATCATGAAAGTACGGGATCATGAAAAAATAGGATCATGAAAGTATAGGATCATGAAAGTGTAGGATCATGAAAGTATAGGATCATAAAAGTATAGGATCATGAAAGTATAGGATCATGAAAGTGTAGGATCATGAAAGTATAGGATCATAAAAGTATAGGGTCATGAAAGTATAGGATCATGAAAGTAAAGAATCATGAAAGTAGAGGATCATGAAAGTATAGGAGCGTAAATGGATAGGATCATGAAAGTATAGGATCATGAAAGTAAAGGATCATGAAAGTATAGGATCATAAAAGAATGGGATCATGAAAGTATGGGATCCTGAAAGTATAGGATCCTGAAAGTATAGGATCATTAAAGTATAGGATCATGAAAGTACGGGATCATGAAAGTATAAGATCATGAAAGTATAGAATAATGAAAGTATAGGATCATGAAAGTATAGAATAATGAAAGTAAAGGATCATGAAAGTATAGAATCATGAAAGTATAGGATCATGATAGGAGAGTAAAAATACGGGAAAAAAATATAAATAATTTTTTGTCAAGAATAATCCGATAGAATGTACCTCTCCAAGTCTGTCAAACATTTTTATCACGTTCCTAAAATCTGAAAAATTTAAATTTTTTGGGAAATTGCAGCAAAAATACTAATACATGCGTCATATTAAAATATTTTGATTTAAAATAATTTTAAGATCTATTTTAAAATATCAAAATGAAAACTTTTCCAAAATCTCAAAAAACAAAAAAAAATGTTTTGCTTTCTCTGCAACAAAACTGTCCTGGCAGTCTGGAGCTAACTAACTAACTGTGGATTCAGGGGCAATATATAAACAAACCTAGATTTTGAACAATTATTTTCAAGCGGAAATATCTGTAAAATTTAAACTTTTTTACCTAAACTTTAAAATGTAAAATTGTGGGTAAGGTAGAAATTTAACAAAATGACCGGACACAGATCGAGCTTTCATTATTCTGCAGCTCAGGTCAGGTTTATATATTTACAGGTAGAAAGATAGATAATAGATATATAGATGGATATACAGATAGATAGATAGATAGATAGATAGATAGATAGATAGATAGATAGATAGATAGATAAGAATGATACTAAGCGTGTCCCAGGCCTACTGCCTGTGTGCAGTGTGCCTGCTTCCAGACAGAACAAGGTTTTAAGGCGCGCACACGCACACAACTCACTTAAATCAGGATTTCATGCCATAGTTCACTTTCTCTTCCTCTCTCTATACCATAAAAGTTTGAGTTTTCACCGCCAGATGTAGTTTTAATTCTCTTTTTAAGCTTTATCTCTACGTGATTTTATCAATGAAAATTGTTCTTTTTAATAATTTACAGACATTTTATAAAATAAAGTTAATTTTTAAGTTTATTATTTTTCAAAAAATAAAATGAATCATATTGTGTCTTGCCAGAATTCTACAAATAGGTTACTTTGCTATTTAAAGTACTAATGTATTAAAACATTTTCCGGTAAAGTCCGAAAAATAGCAAAAAAATGTTTGGTAATGGTAAAACAAAAATGTTTTTTACCAATAAAAATGTTCCTCTTTGAGCAAGGGTTATAGCTGAAACATAGGGTTGCAAAACTTTGCAAAGTTGTTATTTTAAATTTCTATCTTTGAGCAAGACAGTATAGCTGGGGTTAAAGGGGGTGCAAAAATAGAGTTTGCAACCCTTTATTGTTCGCAGGCTAAGTCGAAATTGCTAATACGGATTGGGTTAAAAAAGTTAGTGTTTTTTTTTAAGGAGTCTCATTTAAGTTTAAGAGGATAGTGGGCAAGTGCCCCGTCCCCTCCCCCTATTAGGTTGAAAAATTAGTTGGCCGAGGGATGTGTCACACCATTTCATTTATATTATATGATAGAGTTTAGATACTCGGGAAAGGTATATGAAGAATTCCAATCAGTAAGTGGATGTCGTCATTGTAAACAAGAGAGACCTGGGTTTACTTAAATTTGGTATTTATTTGAAATTAAAGGTTATGGTATTTTTTAGTTTAATTAAAGAAAAATGTTCGTTTTGATTAGGGAAAAAAGTTTTTACAATATACATTAAGGTTTTAATAGAAGTGGTAAAGTAAATCTAAAAGGAAAGGTTGGAAATCTGTTTAAACAACATTAAAGTTTGACGTTAAATGATAATTTTAATGGATATAAATATAGTTCAAATGGACAGCGCTGCGGCCAGGAAAGACCTCTATAATTCAACAATTTTTAATAAAATTAGTGTATATTTAGGGTTAGGTTAGGTTAAGCTCATTTCTGGGCCGGGCGCTGCGGCTAGGACAGGCTAGGGGGCCAGGCACTGAGGCCACATGCATGGGCTGAGCGCTGCAGCTAGCACGGGCTAGGGGGCCGAGCGCTGCGGCCACATGACCAATACTAATTTGCTGAAAAATAAAAAAAAATGGTTAAGTACAAAATTTATAGGTTCTATTTTTATGTCTATTTGAACTATTTTTATGTTCATTTTGAACTATTTTTATGTCCATTTGAACTATTTTTATGTCCAATTTTGAACTATTTTTTTGTACATTTCAAATATTTTTTTTGTTCATTTGAACTATTTTTTTGTTCATTTCAACAAATTCTTTGTTCATTTGAACTATTTTTTGTCCATTTGAACTATTTTTATGTTCATTTGAACTATTTTTATGTCCATTTGAACTATTGTTTTGTTCATTTCAACTATTTTTATCTCCATTTGAACTATTTTTATGTTTATTTGCAGTTTTGAACTATTTTTTGGTTTATTTCATTTATAATATTAATAGTTCAAATAAACAATAATTTAAATGAACTAAAAATAGTTCAAATGAGCATTAAATAAACTCCTTTGAACCAGTTGCCTGCTCTCTCTCAAGCAGAACGGACATACTATGCAGTACCAGAATTGCAGCTGGGGAAGCGCTGAGTTTAGTTACGCATCTTGTATCCTACAGGGGAAGCTGGAAGCATAAATTAAAACAAAACTTCATCTTCAGCTTGGTGCACTGAAAGAGGAGTTTAACCTCTTGTGGGCATACAAGTAATGCACAACAATACCGGTTTTTTACTCGACCAGATGTGAAGACTGAACTGCCATGGAAGATACCTCTCAAGAGAGCTTTCAGGGATCACAACTCCCCATTTTGCATACGGGGTGCAGTAATGGGTAAATTCCTTAATTCCCTTTACTGGGAAACAGTATAAAATAAAGGAACACAGGGAGAAATCCCCTATACCGTTCTTCCTACAAACCTCCTTATCTCTCTCCTACCTGCTCCACAACTCAATGTTAATAAAACTATTAGGAAAGGCCTTAAAGTGTAAAAACAAGAAACAAGAAGCAAGAAGAAAAAATAAATTGAACAGAAAAAAGTGGAAGGGAAATCTCTTGACAGTAAAGATTGGTGCTTAAAGCAAGATAAACAAGAAATAAGAAGAAAACTTTGAACAGGAAAAATTAGAAAGGGATTTGAGCTTTACACTATCTATTTTTTTCACCGATAAGACAAATACACAGGATGGCAGACGTCCCATCCCCCCCTCTATGTCCTACTCCAGAAAACGCCCCTCTCACCCCTCTCCCCCTCCATCAAGAAAATTTTATTAAAAGTGTGTTAGCTAGGAATGCAGGAGCTGACACAGTAACATGACTGAAGCAAAATTTAAAAACAAACAAGGGAGAGAGTAACCTCGCCACTTTCAATATATAGAATATAGATACAGGGCTCCAAAAATAGTTCTGCCTCTGAAATTTGGCTAGCTGCAGAAAACATCCAAAAACTTAATTTATTTCTATTTTCAAAATTAGCCAAATTATGATTGAAGGATGGACAAGGAATGGACGATCAAGAGGAAAGAATGAAAAACAAGAAATATAGAAGTCTCATAATGTTTCCATCTGATATTATATTGAAATTTAAAAATATTGTAAAATTTAATTAAAATTAAAATTAAAGTTTAAAAAACTCGTTTGAACTATTGCTCATTTCAACTATTCAAGTGGTACCACGTGCAGTAGTTCAAACGAACAATAGTTCAAATGAACAATAGTTCAAAGTCTCTACGATTATGTATTATTTCATTTTAAAATGTGTCAAATGTGGCAGAAAATCTGAATTTAGAAATTGTCAAATGTGCATACATTTTAAGAAAAACGTAAAATGTATGTAGTCGTAGAAAATGTCATATGTGCATGCATTTTGAGAAACATGTCAAATGTGGCAGAAAATCTGAATTTAGAAAATGTCAAATGTGCATACATTTTGAGAAATATGTAAAATATGTAGTTTTAATACTCTTTTTAAACTTTATCTCTACGTGATTTATCAATGAAAATTGTTTTTCTTAATAATTTACAAATTTACGGACTTTTTATAAAATAAATTTAATTTTTAGTTTATTATTTTTCAAAAAATAAATTAAATCATATTGTGTCTTGCCAGAAATCTACTACTAGGTTATTTTGCCAGGCACGCCTTTCGGTATAAAGGTAGATTCTATATAGTCCCCTATTTTATAATTAATAAAATTTATTATGCGTCGCACACCATAGTGGGTTCGGGCGCACCTGAAGGTATAAATTCCGATCTTTCCAGGATTTATATGAATGATCCACTTGTGTCAGTGTGACTACCTCCTCCTCTTTGATTTTCAACTCATGCATAATCAAAACGTATAGATCAATAAGTATATATTAATTGATTTAGAAAATATTAAATAAAATTATGTCTGTACTGTAACTTAAACTAAAGTAAATTGTACAAGATTCATATCTTATATAGATTTTTAATCTTATTGAAGTGCTGCTGCAGAAGAACAAAAATAATTTAACCTTCTTAAACGATCGAAACCAGATAAATTTTTGAGGAATTGAGTCTTTGCCACAAACTCTGATTTTCAAATCCCTCTATCTTTGGAACCCAATGTTGTAAACCATTGATATTTCATATTTACATTATTTGATCTAATAGAAGTTTTAATTGAAATGTCAAAGGTCTACGACATTGGGTTGCAAAGATATAGGGAAGAGAAAATCAAAGTTTTTGACAAAGACTTAATTTGTTTGAGCTAAACTCAAAACTGCAGAGAATCTCCGAGGTCACAAAGGTGTACAAGTGATGCCGCATAAACTTTATCTTCTCCCCTTCCGTCTATTTTGCATATGTATAGCTATAGTATTCTTCAGCATTATATTATTATTGTATTCTTCAGCATTATTATTATTGTTAAAACATTTTCATGGTAATTGTGTACATATTAAAGGTTGAACTGGGCCGAGTTAGAGATCGCGAAGGGGGGCTGAGCCTGTGAATTGTTAAAAAAGGTCAATATAATTCCAAACCCAATCCCAATGGGATCAAGTCAAAATGGCTTTTTGGGATGAAAACGGTATTGTTTTGGGACAAAAAATTAAATTTGGTCAAAATACATGAAATTATTGGGACATAAAGTGAAATTATAGGGAAAAAAATAAAATTATTGGGACAAAAAATAAAACTGTGTGGACAAAAATTGAGGCTATGTGATAACAAACTAGTGGAATTAAAATAAAAATATTGGCTTTAAAAAAGTGGCAACTTGACGGAAAAGACGAA